AAAGAGGGCTAACGACCACCACTAGATCTAGCGGAGGATGGCTCGGTGACAATGACGGTTACTGCAGTGAGGTCGGGACGGCAACAGCTACTGTGGCGAGAGTTGCGAACAAGCTTGGGTGAGGCAAATCTTCCTTCAATGAGGTTGGGAGAGGCGGATCCATCGCTACCAAGCTCAGGAGTGTCGGATCCGTCATTACCAATCTCAGGAGTGGTGGATCCACCGTCGATGGGCTCAGGATCTAGGCGGTGACGGCGGTTGAGGAGACGCGTGCCTGGGGCTTGATAGCCTGCCGCAAAGGGGCAGTTAGCGATGGTGGATGAGGCATGCGCCTCGGCCTCATCCTCTGTTGCAGGGTTGGGAGAGGTGGATTTGGACCTCGGCAACGACGATAGGCGTTGCGACAACGATGACTTCTGTGATTTGGGATTGTGGATTTTAGGGGGGGTTTTTTTTTTAAGAATGTGGATTTGGGTTTCTAAGGTAGATTTTGGAGATGGGGGCATGAATTTGTATATTTTTTGTGCAATTCTTTTCCCTGAAAATCCTTATCACAGGCGGTCAGCTCAATCTCTCTGTGAGTGAAGTTTCTTTTTTACTGGCAGCCATCAAGATGTTGCCGGTAAAGAATGGATTTCATATGCAGATAGGCACCCGCCAATGAAAAGTTTGTATTTGCACTGACCTTCGGTTACTGGCGATGCCGCCGGCCGCCAACAAAAATCCATTTTAGGTGTCAATGTAAACCCATTTTGTAGTAGTGTAGTCCTCGAAGCCCGGGGGGAGGTGCCTTCAACCCCATCGCATGTAGTGAGCAACAACCAAGCAGAGGGAAGGGACGTCGAGGAGGTGTTGGCGATAGAGGGATGCAAGGCAGGGAGGCCGGAGGTATGCGGATACGGTGGCCCTTAGCCTCCAAGTGGCCGGATATGGCAACCCAATGGGGAGGCAACCTTTAGTGGGCTCCTAGGCCTCACCACCAAGGGGAAGGCCGCTACCGTCGGTGCCCGCGAGGCTAGCCATTGCCGTGGTGCCCGCAAGCCTGGCCATTGATACCTGTGAGGTCAGCCGCATCTGCAACACTTGACAGGCTAGCCACCGGAGCCCGCGATATCAACGTAGGTGTTTGTGAGGTTGGCCATTGCCCGTCAGCCGCCTAAACGAAGAGTGAGAGGTCGGACGAATAGTAGAGAGCGAGAGAGCAGAGAATGGGGAATAGAAGAGAAAGAGAGCGAAGAGATCGAGGGATAAGGCTTGGGCTGTTCTCGTTTTTTAAAAAACTGAAATCACGTCGGCTTAGAGTTTAGAAGTACCGGCACTGATGTTATCAGTGTTGTTTAGGGCCTATTTGGTTCTCTACCATACCAATTAATTAGTAGTACCAAAATCTAGGCAAATTTTGGCACTACCAATTTTTTGGTAGGGCAAAGTTAGCTAGTCTATGTTTGGTTTAATACCAATATAAAACCAAAATTTAGTATGAGAGTGAAGAAGATTTTAGAATGTAGCCAAATTGAGCGTGGACACTACCAATTGTTTGGCTTCAATCCAAACTAGCATATTTACTATTAAAGTTACTAAAATTTTGATAAGGTCACGTTTTGGCTTCAATCCAAAACGGCCCTAATTGTTTTAATGAATCGATATTGATGTGGGTCTCATGGATATGCCATATATTTCGGTACTAATTGGGAGCATGCGAGTCAAAGAGTAGCAAAACTTATCAGGGTTGGGTTTTGTCCAACTGGTACTGATAAAGGGTATCGATATACTCCCTCCGTCCTATAATATAATAGATTTTGATTTTTTCCTTGTACTGTTTAACCATTCGTCTTATTTAAAAAAATTAAAATTATTATTTATTTTATTTGTGACTTAATTTATTATCTAAAGTACTTAAGCACAACTTTTCGTTTTTTATATTTGCACAAAATTTTTTAATAAGACGAGTGGTTAAACAGTACAAGAAAAAGTCAAAATCCCTTATATTATGGGATGGAGAGTAGTAGTGAAAGCATCAATCCTATTCATACAAAACCTCCTTCATCCTCAAATATTACAACACAGTTAACAAAAATGGCAATATAGTTGCTTACATGAAAATAAGCACATCGATCGTTCGTCTTAGGCCGTGTTTAGATTTTTTTTTTTGCCAAAAACATCGCATCGAATGTTTTGACACATACATGAAGCATTAAATGTGGACGAAAAAAACCAATTGCACAGTTTGCATGTAAATTGCGAGACGAATCTTTCGAGCATAATTACGCCATGATTTGATAATGTGATGCTACAGTAAACATTTGTTAATGACGGATTAATTAGGCTTAATAAATTCATCTCATAGTTTACAAGCGGAATCTATAATTTGTTTTGTTATTAGTCTACGTTTAATACTTTAAATGTGTGTCTATATACTTCAAAAAATATTTTGGCCAAGAAACTAAACACAGCCTTAGACTATAAATCACGAGATAAGAATAGACAAAAATATCCTTTATACATATTCAGTGGTACTCTCTCTATGCCATAATATAGGCACGGTCAAACTTAGCACGATCTCCAAAATAACTTCTATATAAAATTATAACCATATAAAACTAAATTGAAATATCAATGATATTATTTTCAGAAAATAAAATAAAATTTATATTATACTAATTATTGATTAAATATTATAAAAATTAAATTTTAAAATACGTGCACGTCCTATAGAGCGGAGGGAGTATAATTCCAGCAGTCTTAGGAATTCTCTCGTCGTAAGAAAACACCTTCGCATATGTGCCGTTCCCCGTGTATTTGGCCCAATCCCTCCCTGCCCAGTAACGGCCCTAAACATACAGCAAGGCCGAATCGGACTCGGAGACCCAATCCCGCAGCCCGCGAGCGCGTTTATATAGACACCGACACCGGGCCCCCGCCTTCTCAAACACATCCTTCCTGCCCGCAAACTAAATCCCACCGGCCACCGCCTCTCTCCCAAAAACCCTAGCTAGGGCTAATCGCGAGGGCGAGCGAGCGAGCGAGCTGCGAGCGATCAAGAAAGGAGCCCCATGGCGGCGGCGGCGAGGTCGCAGGGTCTCTCGCCGGGGTTCAAGTTCAATCCGAGCGACCAGATGCTCGTGGAGCTCTTCCTCCTGCCGTACCTGATCGACGGCGAGCTCCCCGTCCGCGGCCTCGTCTTCGTGGAGGACGACCACCTGGGGGGCCTGCCGCTGCCGCCGTGGATCCTCCTCGACCGCCACGGCCGCGGCGACGAGGACGAGGCCTACTTCGTCGCCCCGATGGGTGCCGGCGATGGGGCCCGGCAGGTGCGCTCCGTCGCCGGCGGCGGCAAGTGGGTGAAGCAGAGGTCGGAGGGGAAAGGTGAGGTGGTGGTGGCCCCCGGCGGCGAGGCGTTCCTGTGGGAGAATTTCAGCCTCAACTTCCACCGCGACGATCGCCGGAGCGGCAGCACCGGGTGGGTGATGCACGAGTACATCGTCTCCCCACCCGCCGGCTCCGCCGTCGCCGCCTCCCACCGGGCCACCCACATCGCCTTCACCGGCCACGGCCAGAACCGCAAGCGCGTCCCCGACGGCTACGTCCTCGTCCTCGACGACGCCGTCCCCCCCGCCGCCGCCGCTGCAGCACCTCCTCCGGAATCCGAGCAGAGCAATCAAGAGGAGCAAGAATACGCTGCTTACACCGACCAAATCCAGCAGCAGTGCTTCGTCCCGGAGCAGCAGATGAGCAACCAGGAATACTTCCCGGAGGCGGCGGCGGAGCAGAGCAACCAACAGTTCTTCGTGCCGGCGGAGGAGCAGAGCAGCCATCAGTTATTCTTGCCGGCAGAGGAGCAGAGCAACCAACAGTTCTTCATGCCGGCGGAGGAGCAGAGCAGCCATCAGTTCTTGCCGGCGGAGGAGCAGAGCAGCCATCAGTTCTTGCCGGCGGAGGAGCAGAGCAACTACCAACAGTTCTTGCCGGCGTTGGAGCAGATGACGCAGAGCAACCAAGAATTTGCTTACGGCGAGCAAAGCCAGTGCTACATTGTGCCGGAGCAGCAGCAGCTGAGCAACCAAGAATACGCTTACAGCGAACAAAGCCAGTGCTACATCTTGCCGGAGCAGCAGCAGCTGAGCGACCAAGAATACGCTTACAGCGAGCAAAGCCAGTGCTACATCTTGCCGGAGCAGCAGGAGCTGAGCAACCAAGAAGCAGAATATGCTTTCGTCTGCTACGACGAGCAGCAGCAGCAGCAGCAACAGAGCAATCAAGAAGCAGAATACGCTTTCGCCTGCTACGACGAGCAGCAGCAGCAGCAGCAGCAGCAATACTTACATGGAGATCTCACATCGTGGCAAGAACCCTTTGTGACGTCGTCGTCCTCGTCATCACAGCAGTTTCTTGGTCAGGAACAGCTGCTGCCTGATGGCCTCCTCCTCGACGGCTTTGGCGAGATCTCACAGCAGCAGGGCGACCAAGAATACGCGTACTGCGAGGAAAGCCAGTGCTACATCATGCCTGAACAGCAGCAGCAGAGCAACCAAGAAGCAGAATTCGCTTTCGCCTGCTACGACTAGCAACAGCAGCAGCAGCACTACTTCCATGGAGATCTCACATCGTGGCAAGAACCCTCGGAGACGACGACGTCGTTGTCGTCTCAGCAGTTTCTTGGTCAGGAGCAGCTGCTGCCGGATGGCCTCCTCGATGGCTTCGATGAGGTCGAGATGCAGAATATCATGGCTGGTTTGGTCGCAAATCAATCTCCATAGCTCTGGAGGGGGAAGAGGCTGCAATCCATGAAGATCAACATTGTTTGTTGCCGAAGCAGGGGCAAGGTTGCTGACAAGGAATCAAAGCAGCAGCTGCCATGAATTAGTTTATGCTTTAGTTGTTGTAATTAAATTACTGATGAACGGCGGCGTCTGAAACCGCTGGCTCTCGCCATGTTTTAACTGAGCTCTGATCTGTTGTAGCTGAGCTCGTAAGTATATAGGTTAGAACTCTGCAATCAGAAGAGTAGAGAATTCTTTATTAGTTTGACAATGTCAAATTGTACACAAGAGCATTCAGTAAAGTAATATATGTAATCCATTAATTGGTTGTAAAGATCATTGCAAGGAGTATAGTTGCATGAATCTTGTATATATGGTATCTATGTGGCCTACAAACATGTAACACAGCTGATATCGCTGTGAAAGAATATGTATCTGCAGCCTAGAATACTACCCAAAGCTTCTCTGTCCAATGAGGAATCCAGATAATAATTTGGCAACTTATAATCATTGCAAAATTGAGTAATCTTATATCTGAGTCTGCTCTTGCAAAGCAAAGCAGCTCCAAAAAATTGCAGGATGCTTGAGTAACCTCCACTGCATTATCGGTTTTTCTTCGAAACTTTCGGGTTCTTGCACATGCGGATGCTTGCAGGAGTAACCTCCACTAGCTCATCTTCTTGAATAAACTCTATGCAGTCGTCCAGACTGTAGCTTAACGCTTCATCGAGAACCACTGCAGCATACCAAAACGGATGGAAATTAATCGTCTTTCTATCAAAAGTTGGGAGTTTGACAGTTGATGTGAAACTTATGTAACAAATCAATGGAAAGCCAGCTAGGCAGGCTCACAGATGTGGAAAGGCCCAGGAAGATATAGGTTAACAGCATGGAGTACAGAGCACAGGGCTCCTCTGCTTGCTTCCCATGTTGCCTCCTAAGCTTTGGTCAGGCAGATCACAGGTGCAAGAGGATTGCTAGCAAGAAGCAATGCATAGAAGGATTTCTGTGAATTCAAAGGTGAACGAAGGCAGCTTATCCAATGGGATAAGGGAGAAGCATGTCAATATTTAGGCTGTTCCGAGAGCCCAAGTCAGAAGGCATGAAGAAAATGGTGACTGTGATCGCAGTGGTAATGTAATGCACTAATACTAGTGTTTGTTGGACTCTATTCACGGGAATATGATTCCACAGAGGTGGAACCAGATCGGCTCACCTGGGCTATGGCCCAGAGCCTAGGCCTTAAGTTCAATAGGCTCAAATTAAATTTCACCATGCTAAGCCCAGTATGGGCCGAAACATGCTAGGCTTGGCTGGCCCAGGCCTTGGCCCAAGGCTGGCTCCACCCCTGCGCTGCCACGAGCCTGTGCATACATGGGTTACAGTTTTGCTTACATGGCTTCGAACTCACTCAGGGAAAGTAGAGCCTGTTTATGATGTTTTGGTTGCATCAATCAGGTCAATAGGCAGTAAAGCACTAAAGCCCCTCCAGCCAGACCTGCCCAGCCTCAAGATGCAAGGGTTTACTTATCAGGAACCCCAACCTAGGAACTTTTTGGAGATATCAACTGTAGGTTTCAAGAAAGGCATGGATTATGTGAGTTGGACCAAGCTAGCTATGGTTTAGTTGAACAGCTATTCACAAGAGAAAACAACCAGTACCTAATTTTCTTCAATAAAAAGATATTTCTACCAAATAATATAATCGCAGTAACGAATAGTGGTTGCAGATGAAAATTTTACCTGTAGTTTCCTTGTTGGAGCGGACATTTGTTGCAGCCTTTTTCTTGCACACATTAATTGCTAAATCACCTGGTCGCTGATGGATACCAACTATTTGGCCCTTGTAAACATCCTGTCCTGGACTCACAAATAGTATACCTCTTTCTTGAGCATTAAGAAGTGCATACGATGTAGTACTTCCATCCTCAAATGCAACCTATACCATGTTATCCAATTTAGATGTTGATGAAAACGGAAGAAAAAAAACTTGTTGCTTGAAACTTGAAAGTAATGTGTACCAAGGAGCCTTGATCACGTGAACTAAGATCTCCAGCCCATGGGCCATAGCTGTCAAAAATTGTGTTGAGTATTGCTGTGCCCCTAGATGCTGTCAAAACTGCATTCCTGAGTCCAATGAGGCCTCTAGTAGGAATCTTGTATTTTAGTAATGTTGTTCCCTCTGGCCTGCCATTTGAAAATGACACTTGTTATGGCAACAACTCCTCTATCTCAGGAATAAGCATTATGCAACAGAAAATTTTCAAAGCCATATTGTATTCATTACATCCATTACTGCATGATTTCTTCATAGAGTAAGATATTTGCTTCAAACCATACAAATAATCCATCCAAAAATTCAATCTCAACCACCATCTGAAAATACATAAACCACTCCCAACAATTGTTCTTGCATTTAATTGATATAAGAGGGTCAGAAGTTACTCCGAGACACGACAGCTTAGTACACTCTTGTATAAAATGTTGAGGAAAGTCATGCAGTTCTCAGAGTAATGAGACAGACTCGATGCATAAACTTTTACACTCTAACTTCAATATGGTGTTTGTTGGTTGCTTGATTAATTCAATAGGAAATTTATACTTTTTTGCGAAGATAGTATTAAAAAGTTCCAACATAACTCTCCTCCAAAAAAAAGTTCCAACATAACTTGCAAGCATATGAAGGAATTAGAGTGTGGTACGAACCCACTAGGTTGCATGTCAACCATTTGTCCACGCCTTTTCCCCAAAAGCTCAACAACTGAACCCATATATTCCTCTGGAACTTCCACAGCAGCTATCTGGAACACAGTAGCAAGAATAAGTTGGTTACATGAAAACTGAGGGATTAGGAGTTGTAGGATAGTAAAATCAATAGCAATACTAGTGCCAAAGACAATATTTGTTGAGAAATCTCTACTATTCTAAAGGGGAGTTTTGTCCGTTCGACGATCCCTACCATCCCCACTAGTGCAACAAAAAAAAAACTCCATCTAAAATAAACCGGTGGATGCATCATGCACCTGAAAACTGCTCACCAAGAAAAACCGAAACAGAAAAAACTAAACGTGAACTACGCTGAAGCATGGAGGGGAACATTCGGCCCGTCCTTCAAGATCTCGTTGCAATTGCAACATGCAGGCACCTTGCTACTTGGTGAAATATACAAGTGAATACTGGCATTAAAAGAAACATACCTCATAAGGCTCTTGCAGCTTTCCATCAACTGTCTTGTTAATGACCTTTGGAGGTCCAATCATAAACTCAAATCCTTCTCTCCGCCTGTTAGCAATTGAGGTTCTTTCAAGAAAATGCCAGAAGTACATGTCATTCTGGAATCACTGAATATGATAATAAATGCTTACATGTTTTCTATCAATATAGTGAGGTGCAGTGTGCCTCTGCCACTAACAAGAAATGTATCAGCAGTTTCCCCGTCTTCTACTTTCATAGCTAAGTTCCTTTCAAGCTCACGATATAACCTATCACGGAGATTACGGCTTGTGACATATTTCCCCTGTGATAAATCCAGTGAGAACGGACAAATATTTCAGCATTCCAGAAAAGGAAGAAAACTAGCAACATTATATTTACAAACATGGCATTGGTACCATTACAGCAAATGTGGTGGAAAAGTGCCACTATGGATAATCTTAATTTAAATAACTTGCAAGAAGGCAAGACATTCAATCGATTTTAGATTAAACAAGTTCAATTTGACAAAAGAGATTTGAATATAATTTGACAGCATTCACTTTTTTTTGAGACAGCATTCACTTTGTGGCACTTTAATTTGACTCCAATTTGACAGCATTCACTTCATGCCACTTTAAAGCACAATAGAGCAAAATCTGCATTCTGTGAACTACAATCATGATTTGATACTTTCTAAGCATCCAGCAATGGCAGATCATTTCAATTGTCAAAATAAAATAATATTTAGTCTAACAACTTGGAATGACCACATAGTTGCAATTTAGACATCGATTTTTTTTATCATTTGAATTCAAAGCATTATATCAACATCTAGCTTAGGCATTTTTCAACTCTCTTTTTCAAGCAGGCCATGCTAGACTGCTAGACAGTAGAGATACAATGGAGTTTATCCATACCTCTTTACCGACAAAAGGTGAAGTGTTGATGGAAAAAGACATTCTGACTGTCGGTTCCTCTATTTTGATGGTGGGCAAGGGTGTTCCAGAAACTTTATCTGCTATGGTTTCCCCAATCTGCAGAGTTCAAAGAATAACAGATTTTATAATTATCGTGCTCTTAAGATAAATGTAAACCAGAAAGCTTGAATAAATTGTTAAAAAACACCAACCATGATATCATTGATTCCACATACTGCACAAATGTCACCAGCACTAACATTATCAACTGGAACTCGGCTGAAGTTCTGATAAACGAAAAGCTCACTTATTTTGCTAATTCTACAAGCATCATCTGGTGTACAAACCTGCAAAATATCTTGAAATCAGTAGAAGCTATATTGCTGTCATAAGAAAAGATATTTTTTCCCTTTGTCTTGCAAACAAAAAAAAGGTGACAGATGTGCCTAGATGTAATTTGAAAAAAAGATCAAATCTAAAGAAACTTCAAAAGTGAACCATTAACCAAGACTGCAATGGTTGCTCATGCAAAGAGTATGAGAGATTTAAATCTAAATTTTGGAAAGGTTGCACATATCTTTGATGCTACCCTGTTGTTCTTTTTAATCTTTGTTGGAATATTGGCATTTGCACTACATGCACAAAAAGAACAAATTTGTACCTTCACTTCCATGCCTCGCTGCAGTTCTCCTGCATGCAGTCGCCCAATCGCTATCCGTCCTTTATGTTCATCATATTCAGTATTAGACACCTATACATCAGTCAGCATTGTGGAATTAGTACACAGGACTACAAATAATGAAAGAGAAGTTCTGATAATCTATTATCAGAAAAATAGATTTGTCAAAGTCAGAAAGGCAGCTCCGCAGAAATTTGCTCACAAGAAGACAAATCAAACTTTCTAACAAACAATAAAGTGATGTAGAGAAGAACAAAATAGCTAACGTACTCATATTATGTGCCTGGTAAGTGTCTAGACTTCAACACTAGTTGATGTAACTTTGCATGGAAAATAATCTTAGAAATTTGAACATATGTTCATTTACGAATGTGGCAGTTATTGCAAATTGATCGGTGAATATTAATCATGTAGGAGTTTCCTTAGCTGTCCAAGTACACAAGATACTGATTGCTGATCTTGGCTAGTTAGCTATCAGATTTCAGTCATTTCCAACTATAATTACATAACCTAGTATCCATGGCATGGCTTTCAGCATCTTGGGAGTAATTACTCCCAACTGTATGGAGTTAAGCATCCCAAAGTTCAAGCTTTACCATAGTTGAAAATAACAGTAAGAAACAAACAGAAGAAAAAAATGTAGTGATACAGTGTGTAAGTTGCCATTTTGAGAGAAAATCCGAAATTACAGATGCATCCAAGAAAACAATCACGATGGCTGCATATAAAGTATTATGCAAAGTCATAGCCACAAGTTAAGTACATGACAATATAATCCCCAAGTTTATTACTCACAAGCAATTGCAGTGCACCGTCTTTCTCAATACGTGGCTCTGGTATGCATCTAAGGATTGCCTCAAAAAGGGGTCCAAGATCGTCACCCAAATTTTCTGGAGATAACCCAGCCTTCCCTTTAATACCACTTGCATAGACTGTTTGAAAATCACACTGACATATTGCAGCAAAACAAGAACATAAGGAATAGGAAGAGAACAAATCAATGAACAAAAGTATGGACAAAACTATTTACCTGTTCATCAGTTGCATTTAATTCGATAAATAGCTCAAATGTTGAATTCACCACAAACTCAGGACGAGCAGTAGGTCTGTCAATCTTGTTTACAACCACTACAACAGCATGTCCGAATTCTAGAGCTTTCTTCAGAACAAATCTTGTCTGTGGCATAGGTCCCTCTACAGAATCAACCTACGAAGCATAGAGGATTATGTTAATAGAATGATTTTAGCTCGTTTTCTCAATTCACATTAGAACACTGTTTGAAAAATCAGTTCCATAGGAACTTGTGTAGCATGCAGCAGAACATGGAATCAGTACCCTATATGCAGTGTGTTACAATTTTTGATAGACATAAGGCATGTCAAGATGTGATGGCATCAAAACACTTATTGAACAATGAAGCGCAAAAGAAGCCAATAGAATATGTTTTAAGCATCAAATAAGAAGTAAGCCAATCTTCTTATATAACATTTAACCGCAACAGTAGCTAGTACCACTAGGAGAACTCCTTCCACCATGTTGAGAACGCGTTCCACCTCCCCACCGAAATCTGAATGTCCAGGAGTATCGATGATGTTGATTTTAGTACCCTTATAAGTTATCGAAGTGTTTTTGCTAAGTATAGTGATTCCCCTTTCCCTCTCCAGATCATTTGAGTCCATTATTCTTTCCTGTACAACTTGATTGTCTCGGAAAACCTGCATAATTTAAACAGCAACAGAAATGGTAAATGCACTATTGATTTTCAGCACAACCTTGTGGTTGAACAGAAATAATTTTCACAAATAGTTTGTCGTTCGTTCTAAGGTGTTTTCATGAAGTACATATTCTTCCCTACAGAGTAAAGCTTTCCTTAGCATTAAAATTTTGAAATTAATCTCAGAATGGAACAAGAAGCTTCTAGAATGTACCTTGGCTTGCCTTAACATTGAATCCACCAGAGTTGTCTTTCCATGATCGACATGAGCAACAATTGCTATATTCCTCACATCTCTTCTAGTTGCTTGACCACTCTTCCCAGCTGAATAATTCAGTGAAAAGATGGTACATAGATTAGCATCATATAACAGAAAAGACAGGAAGCTGATATGTATAGATAGATAAATGCATGAAAAATACCAGTCGTTCTGATGGCACTAGGTCAAGCCAGTGCACATATAATGTGGAAGGAAGATATAGTGTATTTGTGAAACTAAAATGTAGGCAAGGTAGCTTTCACACAATAAACACATTCAACAAACTTCAACGATTAAATATGCAAGAGTAGCCAGCAAATCACAAAATACATTCCATGAAGTGTTTGAGACCTTGAACCCTCCATCTATTTGTTAGCAGTTACAACTAAGGAGCTACTCAGCTTGTGAAGCCACAATTGCTATACTCGAAATGTCAACTATGTCATCCTATGCAGCTGCAGCCACCCAATTCTAAACAGCGAGAATCAGATTGCACCCAATTATATATACCACTTACAGATTGCTAACTCATTCCAGGACCAAAAAAAAAAAAGGAGGGGCAACCTCTACCAAGCACCAGCATACACATTCTGTGCTCATTGCACTTGATCAGCGAGGCCGTAGCAAAACTCGCGTCAATGGGCATAGTGCCCCAACCAACCCCACTCAAAGCGAACCACAGCACTTCACCTCACCTCACGATACTAATCAGCAACCCAACCATGGCGGCACCAAAAATCCAGCGCTAAGCCTAGCCCTACCTCCGAAGCGCACAAACCCCCCTCCGCTGATCAAGCAAGCGAGGTTTGCAGTCATGAGAGTGTTTAGCGCTCACCGGCGGGGGAGGCGCGCTCCTTGACCTCCTGGTCGAGGGAGGCGGAGGCCCTGAGGGAGGAGCGCGCGCTCCTCCTCCGGGACCTCCCCGCCGCGACGACGGAGACGCTCGAGGGGCGGCACCGGTTGGCCTGCGGCTGCGGCTTCGGCGCGAGGCGGCGCGCGGCGGTGGTGGTGGTGGCCGCCTGCATCTGCATGGCTGCGGAGGCGGAGGCGGAGGTGGGGGTGGGAGGGTGTGCCGCGGCGAGTGGGTGAGGGGTGGGGGTGGAGGTGAGTTTGTAGGGCGGGGGTGTGGCGGTGGGGGCTTGGGGGATAACGGCCATGGGTGCGGCTGTGCCGCTGCGAGGCCGGCCACGTCGGCCGCCGGCAAACCGGTGGCCCGATGGTGGAAATGGGTGGGGATATTCCTTTTTTTTGAAAATTATCCTGTGGCGTCCGTTTGTTCGTCGAGTCGCGGTCGAAGAAAAATTACTGCGCCCTGTGAAGTGAACACACACGGTCACAATTTCGAACTCCTCTTTGTACTCGTGCGTGTGCCTCCCGTTTTTCGAGTTTTCGGTTTTTTATGTGAGGTTGTGTGTTATCTTCCATGCTAAAGATGATCTAGCCAGTAGAAAAACAATTACTTCCAATGAGATATTCCATATAATAAATTTCAACTACCATCCTGCTAAATTATGTATGCCAAGAAGCATCGGTTGCATGGGAGGGAGGTGTCGTTAGGGCATTCACGGTGCGGTGTAGTGGCATTCTCCCTTGACCCTTGGCACGTTTGCTTCCGGACCCACCAAAATAAAGTTCTCGTGTCCAAAGAATACCACCGGTTCTTGGGTGAAAAAGAGGACGCGTGAGGCTGGGAGACAGCACTGCTTCTACGCTGTGGAGCGAGTAGCATCGTGCTCCTTCCTGTGCTCGCCCTCATCCAACAGGGCCGGAGGGGGCTAACACCCCCATCCCACCCCCTCCCTATTATACTAACTAGCGCATTAGCATATTAATTAGTCCATTATCAATAAATATGATATAGAAAATTAATTAATAAGAAAGAGACGGAGAGACAACGCAAATCAACTCCTCGTTTTCATTGCTTCGGCTTCACACGTCTCTCCGTACTCCCATTGCGTCTCGCTATCGAGCATGGTGTCTCAAGTCTCAAACTGTCAAACATCCAATGATAGAGCTAAAAAGCTAAATTCAAGTTTTTTATGGCAGAACACATGATGTCTTGTTTTATCGTCGGCATTGCTTACTATAACTTATGACTTGTTCGCCCTGCCCACACCCTCCTAACCATAAATCCAGGCTTCACCCCTGCCCTCCAATGAGCCGCCTAGCCCATTGTCCTTGCGATGAGCTGCCTAGCCCGCTGTCACCATCTGCATGCAGCCAACGAGCCACCTAGCAGGCGGTGGGGTGAGCAGCATCAGCGGAGAGGTAAAGGAAGAGCGGCGCAGGCGGGAGGGGGAGCGGCGGAGAGGAGGGAGAGCTGCTGCGGCGGTCAGAGAAGGGGAGTTATGCTGGAGATAGTGGAGAAGGGGAGCTGCCCCGGGCTGGATCCGGCCGCCCCCTCGTCGCTTCGCCCAATGCCATCGCCGCTCCGCCCAGCGTCGTCGCCACTCGGCCACCTCTCCACCTAGGCACTGTCATCGAGAAGGACGTGCCAAGCCGCCGACATTCCAAATCTGCCCCAAGCTCCTCACCATCCACGCACGTACGCAGTGCCGAGCTTGTTGCCGCTTCGATCCGTCGACATGAGTGGTAGGAGAGCGACGGAAGGGGAGATGGGTGCCGGCGGTGGAGTAGCCGAAGGAGGAGGGGGAGTGGTTGGTGGGGAAAGGCAAAGAGAGAGAGAGGAGGGATGAAAAGTTAAGAGAGAGAACGGGTGAGACCCATTATCATGTACTGTGAAGGATAAAATATACCACATGCACTGTGGAGGGTGTTTCTTAGTCTAGCTGGTTGCTTTGGCTCCTCAAATGCCATAGCTGCACTGCTATTGCTTTTATAGTTATATGATTTCACCCAAGTGGTATCTATTTTTCACGTGCTTAGAACGAGAAAACCATTAGCATATGATTAATTGAGTTTTAATTATTACAAATTCAACAAATCGATTTACTGATATTTTAAAGCAACTTAAAGTTTTTACGAGAGAAACGCATTAGCAGCGAGGTTTATACCAGGATACGCATGGTATATTTCCAGTATGATTTAGCAAGCTTATGGATCATCTTTTTTAATCTGTGTTATGAAAATGCATTAATATTACACACGCATGAGGGTAGGGAGGAGTTGTTGCTCTCCATCTATTTAAGGCTCCATTAGATTTGAAGAAATCTGTAGGAAAGTTCAATTTTAAAAGAAAATTCTCTGTGAGAGCCTCTGGATGGTGAAATTGGTTCAAAAGAATTTCAAATGATAGGAAAAGGTGCTTCATATTCTAGAGGAACTTTAACATTTTTACAAATTGATTTGGGAATTTTAGTGCATTTCCTCTATCTCCCTTATCTATAATAAATCAATATATAAATCTTATATATTTTTTTTGTTAGACCGGACCCGACCGGACCCAATCCTGCTAAAGTGACTTACCGGACTGCCCATATTTTTGGCAATTTTATCCAATGGGTACTTTTTTTTATTTCAACTCGTATAACAGTTCAATTATCTGTAATAAATTTACATATTTATTATTTAATTTTATAGATAGTATGTATAAAATGGTATTAAAATACATAGGAGTACCAGACTATCTGTTAATTAACTTACCTGCAAAAAAAAAAACGCACATGAACTCCGAGAGCCCTTTGAATGGCAAGATTGAAAAAACAAATGAATAGGAAAAACACAGGATTCTGATAAGAATACAAGTGTAAAACTGAGGATTGCAAAACACAGGGAAAACTAAGAAATGGTCGTTTGATTGGACTGCAGGATAAACGCACAAATCAGATGTGAGAGATAGACTCAAAGGGAATTTTCCAAGAGATTAAAGTGGATGCTAGATTTTCTACGTTTTTATTTAGAATCGTAGGAATAGAAAAGTTTCCTACATTTTTCCTTTTCAATTCATTTGTTTTTAGTATAGGATAGGATTTCAATTCATTTGTTTTTCCTCCAATTCAAATGGGCCTAAGTGATAAGCTCGAAAGAACAGGGACTTGGATTAATTTTGTCACAGAATGATCTAGTGTGGTGACGGCCAGAAGAGATGGGCCCAATGGCCTAAGCCCGACGTTTTGCCGAGAAAAAAGTGTGGGCAAAAAAAAGGGCCCATAACTTTAGTGGGTTATATAGCCCATCGAAGCACCTTAAGGTTCCTTGTTGGGTAAGAGAAATTTGAGCCCATAATTTTTAAATTTTTTTTATTAAAAGTTTTAAAAAATAATTTTCTATTTCAAAAATTAACAAAAGTAGTAGCCCGCCGCCGCCCTCCCAGAGGGCGGCAAATGTGATGTGGCAGACGGCCGTCAATGAAATTTGCATGCGGCCCCCTTGCCGCCCTCCGCTAGGGCGATTTTACACTGTGCGGGGGGCCGCCTGCAAATGGGCGGCGAGGGGGGCATGGAAATTTGCAGGCGGCCCCCTTGCTGCCCTGGGGGAGGGCGATTTTACACTGTGCGGGGGGCCACCTGCAAATGGGCGGCGAGGGGGCCTAGAATTTTGCAGGCGGCCCCCTTGCCGCCCTGGGGGAGGGCGATTTTTGCCTCTCTCCTATATAACCCCGTCCCCCCTCTCTAAAATTTCATTATAATCTGTAAAAATCCAAAAAAAAAGGAAAGAGAGAGAGGGGATGGCAGCAGAAGGGGAGCGGCGAAGCCCTACTGGTTTGCTCACTTCATCACAGGTTTGCTCCCATACTTCTTTTGCATTTGTACTAATATATTATGTTTGAGTACTATATGTTGCGTTTTAGTTTTAGTTCCATATATTTTAGCATATCTGTAGCACACAGCACATATGTGTAGATCTAGAGCACAGAATATAATAGTATGAATTGAGACATAGACAGTAGTGTTAATTGTAAGATGTACTTTAGTTTGATCTGGAAAACGTAACCTACTTTTAGAATTTTGGAGAACAATATTGTAGAGAATGTAACTTAGTGCGTAGTACAGAAATGCGAGGTTAACGTAGTTATTGTTTTCATCAGGCACAATATCAAATAAGGTCACATTTCATATAGTTCACGGTGAAGGAAATCTTAGATTTGGTCCAGATGGTGCTGATCTGTCGGATTTTGTAATGACATCTAAGGGCATCGATAGGCCTGCGGAGAGAACATTTCAGTCAATTTATAGTTGGTTGTTGAGAGGATTTAGAATAGACCAAGAAGTCTACACAATGTCAGTATCTCTATTGTAGTGAGTCGTGCAACAGAAGGTTATTTTTGGGAACTAATGCCGATGGACAGCACTGCTGCTTGGAGACGGTATGTGGAAATGGCTTTTGAATGGTCATGGCCCCTCGTTATATTTGTGTCGGTACAAGAGAAAGATACAAATGTTTCAATGCAAACCGAAGATGTGGAGGGTTCTAGCAATGCAGGGGATGTTGTTGGACCATCGATGCAAAATGAGGAAAATCAAACAAGGGAGGAGCAGGCCATGGGCATGGCGGATGAGGGGGAGATAGTCGGTATAATTGTTGATGAAATGGAGAGGGAAGATTCAGATAATGAGCAAGCGGAGGACGACGCATCATCCGATGAGGAAGGTGATGTAATGGCCACTGATTGGGCAAATGAGGACTTCTTTGGACTTGTTATATCAGATGGTGATCATGTACCCTGGGAGTATAAGGAGAACGAGGTAATTGAGGGTGCTAGGTATGCTCATAAGGATGAGATGAAGGAGGCAGTGAAGCATTGGGCAGTTTCCTTGTAGAGAGAGTTTAGGGTGGTCAAGTCAACAAATTATGTGTATGAAGTGAGGTGCATGAAGGAAGATTGTCCGTGGCGTGTCCATGCATATAAGGGTAAATGGAATGATTATTGGAAAGTTAGCATTGTGACCAAGCACCAGTGCTACTTACAAGGGGTGGAGAAGTATCACCGAAACATCACTTCAGCTTTTGTGGCAAGTGAGATGTACAGTAGTGTTGTTGGTAACATTGGCTTTGAACCAAAATCAATTATTAGCCACATCGAGAACAAATTCAAGTACACCATAAGCTATGCAAAAGCCTGGAGAGCCAAACAAAAGATTATTGAGATGAGGTATGGCACATTTGAAGCTTCTTATGATAATTTGCCTAGTCTGTTAGCCACCATTGCCCAGAGGAATAATAGTACTTACTATGACCTACATACATTTACATCGGCTGATGATCGAACAAAGAGTGTGCTGCAAAGAGCCTTTTTCTCATTGGGTGCCTGCATCAATGCTTTTGTGCATTGTCGATCTGTCCTATGCATAGATGGGACATTTTTGACAGGTAAATACCGAGGTTAGATATTGACAGCAATTGGGTGTGATGGGAACAACCAGGTTCTACCTATGGCTTTTGCATTTGTAGAGAGTGAGAACACTGAAAGCTGGTACTGGTTCCTAGAGAGAGTGCACATTGCAGTGGCGCGTATGAGGCCCAACGTTTGCCTTATACATGATCGTCATGCGGGTATGTTGCGGGCTATTGACTACTTGCAGAACGGTTGGGATGAGAAGGGACTTCCAGCTAAGTGGCCTGATGTTCGGAGTCGGTGGTGCATGCGTCACATGGGTGCAAATTTCTATAAGCAATTCAAGAACAAGCATCTTATGGAGCTCTTTAAGAGGCTCTGTGCACAGAACCAAGAGAAGAAATTTAATGAGTTGTGGGACAAGTTGGATGAGTTAACAACGAAGCAAACAGATGAGCAATCTCGCAGACCACAAGTTGAAGGTGACGAGCCTCCCATACCTCTTGGTGCATTACATGATGACCCACCAACAATGAGAAGGAGGTCGGGGTCGTCCATCAGAAATTTCACTCAGTGGATTGAGAATGAGCCTAAGGAGAAGTGGTCTCTATTGTTCGACACTGATGGATCTCGGTATGGCATAATGACAACCAATTTGGCGGGGGTGTACAACTGGGTAATGCGAGGAGTTCGGGTACTTCCATTGGTTGCTATTGTTGAATTCATCCTTCACGGCACGCAAGCCTACTTTAGGGATCGACACAAGAAAATTGGTCCGTCCATGGCCGATAACAACATAGTGTTTGGCAACGTAGTGACAAAGTACATGGAAGATAAAATCAAAAAGGCACGGAGACATAGAGTTGTTGCTCAAGGCACACAAGTGCATAAGTATGAAATAATGTGTGTTGATAGGAGCAGGCGTGGTATCTATCGCAAGCAAGCCGTGCAGGAATGTGTCTTGAAGGCGGATGGTGGATGTACCTGCAGTTGTATGAAGCCGAAGCTTCGTCACCTTCCTTGCTCACACGTTCTTGCTGCTGCCGGTGATTGTGGCATATCTCCCAATGTGTACGTCTCAAATTATTTCAGGAAAGAAGCAATCTTTCATACATGGAGTGAGGAGATATATGGGTTCGGGATCTCAGGATCTTACACAACGCTAAGTGCCAAAGTTTTTTATATTCCAGATCCATCTAAGTTAAGGGTGAAAAAGGGTCGACGCCAAACTAGACGCATCAGAAATGATATGGATGAGTCAGAAGCAGGTGGGAGGACTTTATGCTGCAGCAAGTGTGATCTGCGCGGCCATACTTACAAGAAATGCCCGAAGAATGCAGAAGTTCCAAGTGGCGCGGATGCTGGTCCATCTGGACAGGCAAGTGATGGAAGGCAACCACCTGGTGAAGGAACAACAAGCAGGCGCGCAAGGCCAAGGCGTCGTCGTGCAGCAGGCAATTCCATGGTGTAACATTGCTATCGAATTAGGAAATAAAATGATATTGTGTTGTGATGAGTGTTCGGACTAAGTACTTCTATCGTGTAATTTCAATGAATGTTGTTGTAATGAGTACTTCCGACTATTGTTGTACTAGTAGTATTGTGAACTCTTCGGTGTTGTATCATAATGTTATCGTGATGAGTGTTCGGACTAAGTACTCATATCGTGTAACTGCAGTTATTGTTGTAATCAGAAATATTCTGTATTGTGACCCTTTTGTTTGTTTTTACTCTTGTTTAATATGTGTTAGTAATTCACTTATGAACATTTGTTAGTTATGTTGAACTAATTATTTTTATGTTTCTGATCAATCTATTGGATACAGGTATGTTGTACGACACACCGGCGCTGTTCAACCGTGGGATTGACAGGAACCACCGCTCGTTCCTGTCAGTAGTCTAGGGTGCACAGCTCGGCACTTTCCGTCCACGCACGTCACGCGAGTGGTTGCGTGTCGACCCCCGTCACGTTCCTTAGTACGCGTATGTTCAATTTTACGTAAGCACATTTCAACTCAACTGTGCTTTGTCTTGTACTTATGTTTAAAGTTTGCTCTATGCAGGTTGCGTGCGGCAGGCCTTCTACCACTTTGTAGGCTTGTTGAGGCGGCGGCGGACGACCGTGACCCATCGAAGCAGTGGGATGCAGACCGGTCACTCCTTGCCGCTCTGGTAGACCGCTGGAGACCTGAGATGCACACGTTCCACCTTCCCTGTGGAGAGATGGCTCCGACACTGCAGGACGTGTCGTACCTGCTCGGGCTACCACTGGCAAGAGCCCCAGTTGGTCCCATGGACGGTGTTTTTGGCTGGAAGGAGGATATCACCGCGTGCTTCGAGCACGTGATGCGCCTTCCACACCTAGGACCGCCCAACACCCTTCCCCCGTACTCTACCATCGGGCCTAGCAAGGCTTGGTTGCTTCAGTTCACTATAAGTAAATAACTTGTTATTATCATACATGCTTAGTTTGTGATCAACAAATTGTTTTGTAGTAACATTTCATTATTAATTGTAGGCGGACCATCTCCACCCTGACGCTGATGATTACTCGGTCCGACGCTCCCTTGAGACGTACCTGCTGTGGTTGTTCGGGTGGGTGATGTTCACTAGCACCCACGGGCACGCTATGGACTGCTGGCTGGTCCACTACGCACGGTCCATCGCGGATGCTCAGCCACAGGACGTGCCGCAGTGGAGCTGGGGTTCTGCCGTGCTAACAGCCACGTACCGTGCCCTCTGTGAGGCATGCACGAAGACCGACGCGGGAGCGATCTTCGCTGGTTGTCCTATGTTGCTTCAGCTTTGGGTAGCCAAGAGGTTTGCCATAGGTCGACCAGTGGTGGACAGCGCACCCTACGGGGTTGGTCGCAGCGCGAAGTGGCTAGAGGACGGTCCCACAATGGGGACTTACTGGTGTCGACGTGGGGTTAGTGGAACTTTGCTGCGTTATAAGTTTATCAGTCGTCTTCTTTTTTTATCATCACATAACATGTCTAATTCCGATCATGTTTATTCCAACGTCGTTACGCTCACGTCCAGGTGAGACGAGATTACCCGGACTTCGTGTTTGAGTTTACGCAGCGCCGTGGACGTCGTACCTCCAGCTGGTCTGGTACAACCACGGCCTCGCGCGCCTACCGTCGGAGTAGGACCTCGACCTACGGCACCGGTTTCGCACGGTACTGCTCAGACCAGAGGTTTCTTAAGTTTTGTTTCTGTTTTTGTACGAAAACCTCACCCCGTCGTAACTTGACGTTCCATCCTCGCAGGACCTCGTTTGCCTTCGAGCGCCCCTAGCATCGGAGCAGTGCGACCTACAGCACCGGTTTCGCATGGTACTGCTCAGCTTAGAGGTTAGTTCATTTTTGTTTCAGTTTTTGCACGAAAACGTCACCACGTTTTAACTGCACGTTCCATCATCGCAGGACCTCGTCTGCCTTCGAGCGCGTTTGCAAGCACGACCGACGCTTTCGCGAGCTCTTCAGGGGCGTTCGCCAGCACTTCCGGCGCGTTCGCCACCTCTTCCTCTCACGGAGCGTCGATCCCTCGCCCACACGGTACTTTAATTTTTGTTACTACTATTAAATACCTGTATGAAACTGATGGTCCTTGTCCAGCAGGATTTCCAGCTGGGATCTTCGGTACAGGTGCCTCTTCCTCTCACGCCGGTGGTCTGGTCCTACTAGCCAGTTCTACGACGATGACTTGCACGATGCGCACGACCACGACATACTAGGCTCCTCTCAGCTTGGAGGAGCTCCAGAGGCGCACACTCAGGAGCAGCCAAAGGTCACACCTATACAGGCAGGACGGGTTGGCCGTGCCATACCACCGGACCGACTCACGTACTCCTAGGGGCACGTTAGGGCACAGGGTAGGAGGGACAGGGGTAAGAGGCCTCGTCAGTAGTGTTCTACACCTTCAGTGCTTATGTGACCCTTTCTTTTGGCTTACAAATATGTAAAGCAGTACTACTTTTGCTTTTACTACTGCAGTACTACTTGTGTTTCTCTCGCCTATATAGTTGTTTTCATTCATATGGTGCTAGAACAACTTATGCTCACGAAAACACACTTTCGGCGCTTCACGGTAGTGTCAGATCCACTAGCTGCACAGTCCACCACAGCACACATGAAAAGCGCCAGCTCGAGTAGTCACTATCAACTTTCGGTGCTGCCTGCTGACATAAAGTGAATCACGCCCGCGCGTGCTCGTCTTGTCACATCTAATGAATAATGTATATCATTAAGTGCACAAATATTGCACTGAAAACAAGCTGAAGGCAACCTCTTCATATCTTCTTTCCAACTAGCACACACCTAACGAGAATGGAAGCGCCATTACTTGAGCGTCTCAACTGGCGAAGCGATCCTTTCGCTGGTTGGTTTCTACCATGGTGTGACCGTCCTTTGTGCGATTGTGGAGATGGATGCATACTCAAGTCTTCCCTCATGATACAAACTCGGGGCAAGAGATTCTTCCAATGCACGAACTTTGATCAGGTATGATTCATCTATTCGAAGTTCAAATGGATAAAAACTAACTTCTTCGTACACAATCGTAACATCTTACGCAGACATATCGTCCAATGTGCAACTTCATCGAGTGGGTAGACATGGAGAACCCACAAAACGACGGAACACGTGCATACCCATGTAGTGAAACAAGATCGGACTACCTAAGGCGGAAGGATGAGCATGAACGCCGAATTGCTGCTGAGGCTTTAGAATGGCAGGTAAATCCCCTAGGACTCCCCACGTAGCGTGAGTGTCCGGAGTGTCGTTGTGGTGACCGTTGTCAGGTCATAAGGTCCGTAAGGCACCGAACTCGAGGACAAAGGTGTTTCGTGTGTCCAAACATTGTCGACGATGATTTCGTGGTAATTACAACTATTCTTTTCATCACTCCTCTGTACTATCATTAACTTAACTATCCCCACAATGGATGTACATAGGAGGATGTAAGGAAATGTCAATTCGTACAATGGATTGACACAGTCAGAGTTACTTCCAGTGGCGGGCCGATAACGTAACCTGAACCGACCACACAGTTCATTCATGCTTGGATGGAGTACGAACGTCGGGTGAAAATTGCAAGCTTAGACTGGAGGAACAATCCATTAGGGTTACCTAGCTGGTCCGAGCGTCCAAAGTGTGGGTGCAGAGATCGCTGCCAAGTGGCTACCACATTTGCAGAACAGACATTTGGAAGGAGATATTTTGTCTGCCCCAATGTAGACAACAATTTCGTTGTATGTCTAACCGTTTCCAAAATCTGCTATGATTTGCACAAAATTTCTACCCAAACTGAATAACATTACTATTTTTTCATGGCAATCCAAGGATGTGTGGATTTACTCGGTGGATCGACAATGTCACTCCATCATATCATGGCCAAAAGATAGCAGAGTCAGAAACACAAGTAGAGTATCAACGATTGAAGGACCACGAGAATGCAATGCATATTGACCAACCTAGAAGGGGCTGATAGGTTACCACAGGCTAGATTCGTCGGGACCGACAAATTTGTATCGTGTATCGATGGCACTTCTTACCTATCTTATCATTACAATGTTTAATTATGATGGTGTATTTTTGTATGCGTAAGACTAAAAAATAATAAAATTGGATTTTACCAATCTTTGAGATTTTAATCTTGTATTGAGTTTTCAATATAAAAGATTGGATAACTATTGATAATTATAAAAATATCTATTTCTCAAATAAAGGGTTGCACAGTGTAAAATCGCCCTCCCCCAGGGCGGAAAGGGGGCCGCCTGCAAAATTCCAGGCCCCCTCGCCGCCCATTTGCAGGCGGCCCCCCGCACAATGTAAAATCGCCCTCCCCCAGGGCGGAAAGGGGGCCGCCTGCAAATTTCCATGCCCCCCTCGCCGCCCATTTGCAGGCGGCCCCCCGCACAGTGTAAAATCGCCCTAGCGGAGGGCGGCAAGGGGGCCGCCTGCAAATTTCATTGACGGTCGTCGCCCGAGAGTGAACGGACGTCTGCCACGTCACATTTGCCGCCCTCTGGGAGGGCGATTTGCCTCCCAGAGGGCAGCGGACGACTACTTCTGTCAATTTTTGAAATACAAAATTATTTTTGTAAATCTTTTAATAAAAAAAATTAAAAATAAAAAAATTCCCGGTTTTTCTGGGCCAATTGGTGGGCTTCCAAGCAGGCCAATTGGTGAGCCCCTCATACTTGTCAATCTGGTCGTCGTCACCAACGACCTGCCGGCCACCCGGCCGCGCGCGTTTGATGACGGACATGACATCCACCACCAACCAACCGATCAATCGTGTCGCGCCGCCTCAACTCCGCCAGTTCGCCCCCTCCACGTCGACCCATTCTTGTAGTGGCGGCCACGACGACGCGCCCAGCCATGGCGATCCATACAATATCCCCTCCCGATCGAACTTGCTGCCGGCCGGCTGCATTGTCTCCGGCCTTAAAACTCCAGCAACACGTACGACGAACACCCCGTCGACGGCATGGAGCGAAACTGATCGGAGAGATCGAGCAGCGGCGGCCGGCGGTATATATATGGAGGAGGCGGGGAGCTTCGACGCCGCCGGCGTGTACCCGATGACGCTGCCAAGCCCGAGGATGGTCGTACCGGCGAAGGATCAGTCGCCGGACAAGCCGTCGGGCTTCAGGAAGAGCATCAACCCGATCTACGCCGACGCCGTCGTCGTCGACATGGCCGCCGCCGCCGCCCGTCCGTCCAGGACGGCGGCGGCGGCCGCCGTCGAAGACGACGACGATGGCGGCGCTGCTCCGGCGCTGGTGCGGCGGCACACGGGCGGCGCCGGGGACGGGAGGTGGGAGGCGATCCGGGCGGCGAGCGCGCGCGAGTCGCCGCTCAGCCTGGGACACTTCCGCCTTCTGCGGCGGCTCGGGTACGGCGACATCGGCAGCGTGTACCTCGTCGAGCTCCGCGGCGGAGGGAGCGGCGCGCTGTTCGCCATGAAGGTGATGGACAAGAGCTCGCTGGTGAGCCGCAACAAGCTCGCCCGCGCGCAGACGGAGCGCGAGATCCTCGGCCTCCTCGACCACCCCTTCCTCCCCACCCTCTACTCCCACTTCGAGACCGACAAGTTCTACTGCCTCCTCATGGAGTTCTGCTCCGGCGGCAACCTCCATTCCCTCCGCCAGAAGCAGCCCAACAAGTGCTTCTCCGAGCACGCCGCCAGGTAAAAATTTCTTGTTCGATCGATCGCCGGAGTTGGAGAAGAAGAGGAGGTGAAATTCTGAAATCATGGCGATCTTCTTAGGTTCTACGCGTCGGAGGTGTTGCTGGCGCTGGAGTACCTGCACATGCTGGGGGTGGTGTACCGCGACCTCAAGCCGGAGAACGTGCTCGTCAGGGAGGAAGGCCACATCATGCTCTCCGACTTCGACCTCTCGCTCCGCTGCTCCGTCAGCCCGGCGCTGGTCCGCTCGCCGTCGGGCCGTGTCGGTGCCGGCGCCGGACTGGTGCACGGCTGCGTGCTCCCGCGGATTCTCCCGAGAAGGAGCGGCAAGAAGAAGAAGAAGCAGAAGGGGAATGACCAGGAGGTGACGTCAGCGACCGGCGACGGCAACGGCAAGAACAGGCCGCCGCCGGCGACGTCGCTGGAGTTCACCGCGGAGCCGACGGGGGCGAGGTCGATGTCGTTCGTGGGCACGCACGAGTACCTGGCGCCGGAGATCATCCGCGGCGAGGGGCACGGCAGCGCCGTCGACTGGTGGACGTTCGGCGTGTTCCTGTACGAGCTGCTGCACGGGACGACGCCGTTCAAGGGCTCCGGCAACCGCGCCACGCTGTTCAACGTCGTCGGCCAGCCGCTCCGGTTCCCGGACGCGCCGGCGGCCAGCGCCGCCGCCAGGGACCTCATCCGCGGCCTGCTCGTCAAGGAGCCCCAGTCCAGGCTCGCCTACCGCCGCGGCGCCACCGAGGTCAAGCAGCACCCGTTCTTCGACGGCGTCAACTGGGCGCTGGTCAGGAGCGCCATGCCACCCTACATCCCGGAGGCGGACGTCGCCGCCGCCGCCGTGGACTGCCGCTCGCCGCTCGCGCGCGCGACGCAGGGCGGCGGAACGCCGAAGAAGAGCGCCGCCGGTGGGAAGGCCAGCTCGCCACGGGATGATCCGTCCTACGTTGAATTCGAGTACTTCTAGGAGAAAAGATCGATTATTATCGCGTTAATTGTTTTTTCGTTGGATTTTTGTATTTCATATATTTGCTCGGATCTTTCATGTGAAATATGCCAAAGTTAAGGCATGCTGTGCTTAATTATGTAGATTGTCCTCTTTCTTAAACTGAGATTTTTTTGCCGATTCCTGCAGAAATTATAACACTGTAAAATTCCAATGAAATCATGCACTCCAAAGGACGAAAAGGATATTTAGCGAGAGATCATGTGTGGGATCGGATTGTGATCAGATCGGAATTTCAGTTTTTGACAACCACTGCTTAAGACCCTGTTTAGATGGAATTAAAATTGTTTGGACACGAATTATAAATATTAAACTTAGAGTGTTAATAAAACCCATCCATAATCTTGGACTAATTCGCGAGACGAATCTATTGAGCCTAATTAATCCATGATTTACATATATGATGCTACAGTAAACATTCTCTAATTATGGATTAATTAGGCTTAAAAAATTTGTCTCACAAATTAGCTTTCATTTATGTAATTAGTTTTGGAAGGAGTCTATATTTAATACTCTAAATTAGTGTCTAAATACAGAGACTAAAGTTAAGTCCCTGGATCCAAACACCACCTTATCCTAATTTCTTTTTCGAGTTTCCGCAAGGTCTCCATTTTTTTCTTCAAACTTTCCCCACGCTGTCCTATTTTGTGTGATTTTTATAGGTTGGACCTTTGAAACTAGTAAGGCCGACCCTATTTGATTTGTTTTTTACTTTTGAATTACCAGAAAAAAGCCCGTGTATTGCAACGGGTAAAATCCATTTTAATCTTATTATTGTTATATGGTTTAGTTAAGATGAAATTTATGGAAATTCACTTGGATATATATTTTTAGAAAATAATGAGCTGCAATTAGGAGTCCGTTCGTCTAAAGTTACCATGCGAGTTTTCTTATACGACTCCTTCTGTATTTCCAAAAGCGAACGAACTTAAAAACCGATTCAAATACGTATATGTATTTCTAACAGCAAACGAACTTAAAAACTGACTCAAATACGGATATGTATTTCCAAAAGCGAACGAACTAACAACCGACTTATACATGGATGACGTACCAAAGTATCGGTAAAAACATCTTCAATTTTTATAATAGTAGATATTATAATTTATTTATTTACTTTTATGATGACCAACAAACATATAATAATATCATATTTAAAATAAAATTTTATATGTATAAAATTGTATGCATAAAGTTTACATGTTCAAAGTATCAACGAATAAAGTTTATATACCAAATATTTTATTATAAAGTTTTTTTGTCAATTTTTTTAAGTATAAAGTTTATATACCTAATGTTTCTATTTTGTATGTATAAACTTTTTATATAGAGCTTTGATGTATAATATTTTTGGGCCAATGTAAATACAAATAAATGTGTGGGTATTTTTCCTAGTTTACACGTGGGCCACAAGGGAGAGGGGGGGAGTGGGCAGAGCGGTCAACCGCATAATAGACCCTTCAAAGAAGGCTATTTAGTGTCCCAAAATGTTAGCATTGTGGTTGATTTTTTTTTCCACTGGACCGGCAAAAGCCAGCCAAAACTTTATTGAGATGCAAGGAATAAAAGGTAACAAAGTAACAAGCAAGGCTATTGAAGAAAAAAATCGAGAAAACACAGTAAACCCCCTCCCAACGCTAGAAGTGAACACTAAAAAAAAAAATTTACACCGCCATCCTGATCAACATAGCTTCGTGTCAACTCCACAACTCTTCCATGATCTTATCCACAACAGTACTAGGCGAGGAAGATATTGCCCGAAAATCCTTTCGCTTCACTCTTTTCAAATGAACCAAGTGACCAAGATTACTATCGAGTTGAAAAAACTTCTGGGTTAGTTTGGTTAGTGGCCTAAATTGACTTTACTAATTTTCTTGTCAATGCTAAATTTTAGAAAATTTAGCATGGCTAATTTTAACAAAGCATAGCTCTGTTAGGATTGAAGTCAATTTTTTGTTTTTTTCACCTTCATGTTGATATTCTATACATCAGTTTAAGATTCAGATCACCAAGACATGCAAAAGCCAACATCTTAATTCTTTGATAATTCTATGTTTTGCAACTAATAAGCAATTGGTTGGCTATCGGCAAATGTGGTTCTATAAAATACCATAGCATAAAGTATTTTCTTACCTCATTTTGCCATTGTAGTTAGTCTTCTGTCAATAGCGCTCTATTAACACAGTTGCAAAATGGCCATTTTACCCCCAACAAGTGTATCTCAGTCCAAGAAGTGCTTTATGTTTTCTAGGTGTAACATGGACTATTAAATGGTCATGGAAATTCCGGATAGTCCAAGCACCGTTTCCGTATAAAAGGCACTGTTATTACCCTTTTCGTTATATATAAATTTTATTCTTTCTAACTTCTTTCTACATCTGAGTAGTTTAAATGATAATCATGGTCAATTACCGATTGATCGAGCGTTGTTTCCAAAGAAATGCTACCAATTCCGACTGTTTCACCCCTCTATTTGCATAAGATTAATTAACGAGAGACTGACGTAGATGACAAAAGAAGAAAAGAAAAGGCTTATACACTGGCATTTTTCATAAAACCTTAGTTAGATGATGGCAAAACATAGAACTTACTGTTCAATGGCAATTGACAAAAACAAAATTCTTAGAGATTCTTCCTTATGCGTTTGAAAAGTTACAGTGATCTGAGTAGTACCCAAAGGTCCTGAGTTCAAATCTCCTATGGAGCGAATTTCAAATTGGGTTGTTTGCGGGGCTAAGTTCCCTATCTCAATGGCCGTATATATCCGGTTGGATATGGAGGCCGGGTAGAAAATACCCTTCTCTAAAAAAAATTATAAAAAAAATGCGTTTGAAAAGTTAGTGCCCTGAATGGTCTTAAGTCCAGTTGATCTGGCCCAAGATGGGGAAATATAGTCATGCCTAAACAGCAGCAATCAGGAAGCTTCAGCCCAGCTGATACAACTGGGGCTTTTCATCTTTTTAATGATGAGCTGGGCTTTTGGTTTCGTCCAAACGCAATAGAAAAAATACAACATAATTTGATTACATTTGCTCCATTTTTTCTGTCCTGGGGACAGTTAACTCTTTTTAAACGTTTTCCTCATTATCCTAACTGAAACATTAATACTATAATAATTTACATATATATAGTTAATCATTCAAAAACACACATATAATTAATCTATACCATTTTTATAGACCTATAAAACAAGTGTGATGAGAACGACTGAACAACGTCCTAGATCCTCTGCATTACAGCATAAAATGATCACTGTAGCAATAGGGAAAATACGTCTGCTACAGTAATCTAACGCGTGAGTAAGCAGCGTCGTTGTACTGTATGCCCCCGGAAATAATGTACCTCTGTTCCAGAATATAATAAGTTTTAGAGATAGATATGATTATTAAGAGAATAGGTAAAATTAAGTATGGAGGGATGTTGTGATCGGTTGAGAAATAGAGCTAGACAGAAAAATTAAATGGTGGAGGATTGTGATTGGTTTGGAAGATATATTGGTAAAAAGGTGAACACTAGTACAGAATGGATTTTTTTTCCTGGCGGCCAATTTGCGTTTTCTATAGTGGCCGACGTTGCCACCAATGACTAAAGACCAATGAAAATCAACCATCTTCACAAACGGTTAGGTTAAGCTGACTGTCAGGGTTACGGGTAAGGTATACCCTCTACCCTTCGATATATGTCACATATCGATATGGTATACTTGCACGTATACGGACGTTTTCGGCATAAGTTAAGGAAATTCATTATGGAGTTCACAGATGTAAGGAGTCCTACTCGGATAGAACTGGGTCGTCATTGTATCATATTGGGTCCGATGTCTCCGAGTCTTACTTGAAGACCAGTTGACCTGCGGTATAAAAGGGACCCCCCGGAGGACCTAAGGCATCGAATCTTACCGCCAACATATCCACCACAGCCTACGAAGCCGGAGCTTACAGGAGCCAAGTCGCCGGGTGATCTAGTCGAATCAACTCGACTACGATCTCGTCGGTATCGTCGAGTTCCACTATTCCCTTTGTAATCTGTGGTTTCCATCATATAATCCCATATCAACTGGATTAGGGCTATTACCTATCAAGGGGCCTGAACCAGTATAATCTTTGTTTTTTGCCTGCTTGATGTCGTATTACGTAGATCCTTGTACCAGCGTACCCCAATACCCTCTATATCCGGTCTACGGGTATCCCCCATTGACACTGACCATCAAGGAAAAAAGATTTTCGAGTACAAAATGAATTTCCCAAATCTGCTGCCCATGCTCAAGCTCCGCCATCGGATGCGCTACCCATGCCCCAAGCCATCGCCGAATTTGCTGCCTGCCTCCAGCGACCGAGCTCCACCGCCTGTGGCAACCCCACCACCTTGAGCCTCCAGATCCACCACCCAGGCCCTGAGCCACCACCTGTCCCTCTGCTTGATCTGGGAGAGGGGAGGGGATTGGAGGTGCTGCCGGAACCTTCTCAAGGCCTAGCTGTCGTCATGGTAGCCGCCGCCGGATCCACCTCCTCCACCGTCACCTGCCCTTCTCCTTCACCACCGGGGCGACGGATCTAGCAGTTCCGAGCACCACCGCCGCCGTTGCCGACGGATCCATCCCCTCCACTGTCACTGTCGCTGGCTAGATGCGGGAGAGGGAGGGGAGGCGGGTATGCCAAATCCGGATCTATGTCCTTGCTTGTCACTTAAGAGCTCCGCTTGCAAAAAGAACTCTATTTTTGCAAGTAGATCTCTTAATTGACAACCAACGAAAATTAATTTGGGTTGGCGGTTGGTTACCGAAATCCCCATCAAGTATTTTTGGGTTGGCGGTTGGTTACCGAAATCCCCATCAAGTATTTTTTAAAACCGTGTGCTCATTAAACCTGCTAGTAAAACTAAAAGGGCGATGCTATGGAAAATGATTTTTTAAGTACTGTAAGGGTGTTTTCAATTTACTATCATTTTCAACCTGCAAAACATTTTTACAGCCAATGGTATTGCAACAAACAAAATATGAAAAACCCAATACTATCGTACCAAAATTTAGTAATTTAAGAGGGTTTCGCCCTTAGAAACTCTGCAAAACTTTAATAAGGGTTCGAACAAAATAAAACCACCAAAATTACCAAAATTTGACATTTTAGTGTGATTAAAAATGACAGCATAAACTAAACCGGATCTAGTATGCAACTCAGGCCCTGTTTAGTTCCCAAACAAAAATTTTTCACCCTGTCACATCAAATGTTTGGACACATTTATGTAATAGACAAAAAAATAATTACACAGATTACGTGTAAATTGCGTGACAAATCTTTTAAGCCTAATTACGTCATGTTGACACTGTGGTGCTACAATAAACATCTGCTAATGACAGATTAATTAGGTTTAATAAATTCGTCTCGTAGTTTACAGGCGGAATCTGTAATTTATTTATTATTAGACTACGTTTAATACTTTAAATATGTATCCGTATCCAATATAACACGCTAAAATTTTTTGTCACGCGAACTAAATAGGGCCTCACTTTCCATTTTCTTCTCCGTTTGAAACAGGCAAAAACCTTTGCGTGTGAGCGTGTCAGACAGGCGCAAGAAGGTTCATTTCGAATTTTGTAGATGGAAACATGCATGGTAGGAGTACAGAATATCCCCCCACCCAGGCAAGTAACCGCCGAGCTAACCATCGATCGATGGAGCCAAGCCAACTAGGGTTTCCAAAGCCCCAAATGCAACGTATACTCCACTACGTACTCGACTTCCATTTCATCACGCATCCACGGTCAAGAACAGCTGGCGCGGAATCCAATAATCCAACGCACATATACACGGAATCGAAAGGTTGGAGATGCCAACCGTTGTCTGTACGAGACCAAAATCATTGGCCACCAACCAGCCACAGCCGCCCAACCGAACTGATCAACCCATGCGAAACACCCATGTTAATACTACTGCTAAGAGCAACCCGCAATGGTAAAGTAAGGCGCTATCTATAAAACATGTATATCTCAGCAATAGACTAGATTAATAGTAAACCACTTCAATGGTATGTCTACATGGGTATCTATAGCTCTCTAATCCATTGCCTCATTTTTCTCTATAGACTATCTTCAAGTTAGTAGATAGTTTTGCTCTCTCTCTTCATTTAATCTCTTCCAAGTAGAAAAATATGTTGACATGGATCTCTTATAGAGAGTCTATAGATAACCATTGTGGGTGCCCTAATAGTAGCAGAACAGGGGCTGGAAGGGCCAATTGATGATGCTAATGACGCCCTAATCCTGGATTATTAATGTAACCAAACTCATCATTGCTAATTATTAGTAACCGCCAGCCATATGCATATGCACCCAGGCTGCATCCTTGCATTGCATGCCACCGAACTCGATCATGTTTGTTGTGTTTATATATATGCTCTTTTCCTATTGCTAAGTAAGGGATATAAGTGGTCAACTCGTAAACCTACTTAGAGCAAATTTAATAGTAAACCCCACTACTAGCTCCAATTCATTTATAGCCAATCTAATAGCCAATTCATACAATAGTTGCTTACTATACTACTAATATATGGTCCCACCTGTTATACACACATTGCGTCTTGGAGTCCGTGCTGCAGCTGGCTACAGATCTGTAGCCCGCTGCTCTTCTCTCTCATCTTTTATCTCATTAAAATATGTTTACAGCTGGCTAATAGCCTGCTATTGTATCTGCTCTTATAGATAAAATTAGTAGGCAACCTGCGGATTAACTCACGGTTACCTACTAATTTGATCTATTAATGGTTTTAAGGGTCGATCCACTTGATGCGATACGCCAGGTCACAATGTGGAAACCTGCGGATTACCATTTATTTAACATATAAATAGGTTTATGAGTTAGCCCGTTTGTATGCCTAGCTAATTTTGTACACTGATCCGATCGAAAAGAAAAGAAGGAAAGCTAGCGCACTGTTAGGTTCTTTAAAGACCAAAAGGTTAATACAGTGCACCATCAATTTAAATATTTTTATTTTGTTGTTCGATGTCGAACAATATTGACTTAAAAAAATCAATTGTTTTATCAAATGTGGACAGACTAACAAGGACTTTGCAGTAAGAACAACACAAGGCAAATGAACAATTTTTTTTTACTGCTAACAGAACTGATTTTACTTCTACATGACCCAAGGGAAAAGGCAGGTACTAACATTAGACCTAGAACAATCATTCCATCGGCCATTCCTACCGTCAGAGAGTCTTAAGAAAAGAAAAAACTGTCAGAAAGTTGAGTCAGGTTACTCACATGACCATGAACGGTGGCAGCCAGCAGCCGATCGATCGAGGACGCACAGCTCTGCGCTGAGACACGCGACTGCTCGATTGAAATCGAACTACGGTTCCCTGAATTTGGCTCAGTGATCTCTCATAAATTAGATTTATTTAATTTTTAGAAAACTTCTATGCATATGGTTTTCATAAGGCATATCGTTTATCAGTTTAAAAAGTAGCATATGCCAATAGTGAGATGTTCATGATGATTTCGTTAATATTAAAATATACTGATTCATTGTTTCAGATGCGCTAATAAAAGTAAGATAGTATTACCATGTTTTTTTAAAGAGAAAAAATGTACTTCCTCCGTACTTATAAAGGAATTGAAGTCGTTTTGGACAGCGACTCGATCTACAAAACACAACTTTGACTTTTTATTTCTATAAAAATATTTATTGAAAAGTGATATATGTACTACCTCCGTCCCAAAATATAACAATTTTTAGCTAAAAATGTTTATATTTTAGGACGAAGGAAGTATACTTTTATGAAAGTATTTTTCAAGACAAATCTATTCATATAATTTTTATATTTTCAAACTCAACAACTTAAGAGTTATTTATAATTTATATTCTTAAGATTTGACTCAAATATTATTTTAAACGATTTTTTTTTTAAAAAAATATGGAGGGAGTATATATGCTTAAAAAAACGATCGAACGCACGCGTCACCCGGTCACTCTGAATCTGACCAAGGCGGCGCCGGAAACGGAGCCGCGGATTGAAACGAGATTTCGGGGGAGAGGAGCAACGGCAGCCACGGTGGCAAGCGGCAGCGTAGCCAGCGAGGCCACGTGGTCGGCGGTCTCCTCCGTCCCAGCGCCGGGCCCCACCCACCCCTCCCCCGCCAGTCCACCAACACGACCGTTGCCTCCTCCCCCTCGCCACGCTCCAGCGCCGCACGGCATCGGTGGCCGTGAGGTGGGGACCGCGCTCGTTTGTGGGGCCCACCTGTCAGCGCGTGGGGATGGGCAGCACGTATCACGCATCAATCTTGGGACACCGAGGCGGGCGCGAGGCCAGACCCGACCGGCAACTGAACTGGCAGCGCATTGCCAGCTGTGCCTGCCAACTGTGCCACGCGCTCTGCCCCCGTAGGTCTGGGATATTTACGCCATTTGCCACTGGTGACTTGCCTGATTAGCAGAACAGAGATGGGATCTCCGTGCTGAAGATTAGTAAAAGCATTGTGATAGTTATTTGATTATTATTTAGAGATGTAGGGGCAGTTCAGATTGATGCTATTTTTAACTATATCATTTTTTTAAGTAAAGGTGTAAAAAAAATTGTACATTTAGTTTGTTGCCAAATTTAATAATACATAAGAAATCCTATCATCTTGCCAATACTAAAATTTAGTGATGTTTATTTTAGCTACAATCTGAACAGCCCGTAATGGTAACAATTGAAAGCAAATTCATCATGTACTATAACTTTTGTGACATCAGTACTATGCTAGTACCATATTTTCATCATTAAATCTACAATTAGCACATAACGGAGATTGGATCTCCGTGCTAAAGATTAGTAAAAGCACTATAATAATGTTATAGACTTAATTGTTTGATTATGTAGAGTTGTAATGATAACAGTTAAAACCAAATATATTACCTACCATAAGTACGTAGTACTAGTGCTTTGTACCATTATCGGTTTTGTTCACATTTTGATCATCTCCTGCGGTTTCTGCAATCTTAAATCTTGTAGTCATACCAGCTTATAAACCCATTCCAGACTAAACTTAGCATCATATGAATCTGGACACGTTTACGATAGAAGGGAGTCTAATAAACATTGCACATAATCAGTACGTAGACCGGAGGGCAAATTGGTCATGTAGGCCAACACACATTCTAATCATCATCGGGCGGTTCACCATCCTGCAGAAGCTCTGCTGGCCTCCGGCCCTGGCCCTGGCTGGAATTCCGCCCAATTATTAGCGGCCAGTGGCATTCCCGCAATTCCTGACCTCTTCTGCTGCCCCTCCCCCCCTCCATTTCTATAACTGCAGCCACCCCAGCGGCGCCCATCAAATTCTGCAAAAACCACAGGCCGCACAGCCACAGCAGCGTCCACTTCACGTTCCATCATCTCCTCTACCTCCAACCACATCGTTGCTTAGCCTCGCCACCGCCGCCGCCGCCGCCGATCAGTGGTAGATCGATCGATCTAGCCGGCCATGGATTACTGGAAGACCAAGGTTCTGCCGAAGATTAAGGTCGTCTTCGCCAAGGGCGGCAACGCCAAGAAGGCTGCCGCCGCCGAACTCATCAAGTCGTTTGATGAATCTAAGGTACGCCGCCGCCGCCGCCGCCGTCGTTTGATTCGTCTGGTCGATCGATCTGGTTGATTGCGATGAGATGCTGATGATTGTGGTGGTGGTGGTGCAGGAGGGGATCAACGGCGAGTTCGAGGAGAAGAAGGCTGACCTCCAGCCCAAGGTCGTCGAGATCTACGAGGCTGCTCCTGCGCCGCTCAAGGTAAATATAATTCAGAAACTAATCACACGCCAACCGTATCATCCGTCCTACTAATTCAGTAGTTAATTAACTCGATCAGTGCTGCCAACTGCACGTATTAGTTTGCGGTAATTGAGACTTAGGCCCATCTAATCATGCAACTAATGAAGTGATGATCCTGATGTATCGATGCTTGGCTGCATCATGCTGCATGCGTTCTGTACGTCTAGTCGCCCTCGCTGGCTCAGTGATGAGCAGTGATGCGTCATGCATATGCATGTACCCTACACATATGAGTAGTGATCAGTAAAAGACTGCCAGCCAGCTAGCTTAGCTTAGCTCATACTATCTGCCAAGTTTACAGCTAATTAAGTATAGGTCACTGAAACATTTGATGTGTCCATGGTTGGCAGGTTCTGATCAAGGACAGGGCCAAGGTGTCCGGGATCAAGAAGAACTCCGCCGCCGTCACCAAGTTCGTCGACGATCTCGCCAAAATCGGTAATATATAATCAACAAACACATCTCATCAAATTCTTTTTTAATATAATTTCGCTGATCATTAATTAGCTACGTGAAATTTTCATGGTGGATTGATCAGAGTTCCCCGGAGCGAAGCAACTGAGCGAGGGGATCGCCAAGGTCGGCCCGGCGCTGCTCTCCGGCCCGGTGTTCGCCACCTTCGAGAAGGTCTCCACGTTGCTCCCCGCCGACGAGGAGGAGATCAAGCCCAAGGAGGCTACGGCCGCCGCCGCCGAAGAGGAGAAGAAGGAGGAAGCCGCCGCCGCCGCCGCCGCCACCGACGCCGCCGGCGAGGAGAAGAAGGAAGAAGCCGAGGAGAAGAAAGAAGAAGAGGCCGCCGCCCCCGCCGACGAGCCAGCTGCAGCCGCCGGTGAGAGCGCACCTGCCGCCGCCGAGGCCGAGCCCCCAGTCGAGGCCGCAGCGACGCCGGCGGCCGCTGAGGCGGCGCCGGCGAAGGCCGAGGAGGAGGAGGCACCAAAGGCCTAACTAGCTATAGCTAGCTAGGGTTCATCGCCGCCATTATTGATGGACGCCTCAAGCCCTAGCTAGAGAGGGATGATCGATGTCGTCGTTGTGCCATGTCACCAGTCACCACCACCATTCTTTGCTCTTACACATATGCATGATGATGCAGATATTCCATTATTGTTGTTCATTATTTTTCTCTACCATTTCTTCCCCTCTTTATGGTTAGACGTGTAAGCCTATAATTTTTGTCTGTACTTAAATTAATTATATGCAGTGTGAGGACATGTATGTATGGCATCTGTATATTATCGCCAGTTTTGTTCATCTTGGAAGCATATGCATTATTAATTCATTGATTGGTTATTGTTCTTTCTTTCATGATATATCTCTATAAATATTCTGAAAATTTCAAAAGGTTTGCACAATCTTTTCTTGCACATATGTCCATGTATGTGTGCAGTTGTTAACATGTACCATTGAGGCATTGACACAATGAATCGGTGCTGTGTTGATCTGTTTCTTTAGCGTTGGGCATGCAACAATGTAAGGGGATGGATGGGGCCCAGTGGTCATGTGCTCCGTGAGTTGTTGTTTTCCGGGCCTGACTGCTTCGTGTTGGATCTTCTGTGGTCTACTGCTGGACTGGGCCATGTATGCGTGCCAGTTTAGTGAGGGCCCACTTTGTCGGGGCATGGTGCATGTGCCACCGTGCAGCCTTGGATACCTACTCCAGCTATGCCATGGATCTTGCTGACTCGACCAAACTTTGGAAATGGCCTATTTTCAGTGTAAGAATATGTATAAGTTGGGGGGGATGACAGGTGGGATATTCAACCGTTGGAAAGCCACACTTCAGTGCATGCATAGCCGTTCAGACAGCTACAATCGTATACAGTACTCTAATTTGATCCACGGTACTCTGAATATGGTATATGGTATATGAAAAAAATATCATTATAGTTCGCGTTATTGGTTGGATGTCACTGAAAAATTTTAAAATTGAAACTATGTCACTCCCATCACTATTTTTGTCCTCCTCTCTCATGTCGTCATCCTCACCGTCACCAGTAGATGACGCACATCGCCGTGGAGAAGTAGCAGCGGCGGCGGCGGTGGCGGCGATGGCAGCACTCCGGCGTGTGTTGATATTTCTTAAAGTCATTACTAGGAATATAGTAATTCCCAGCAATGACTCTTGAAACATTACTCGGTATTCTTTACGGTTACAGATATAATCTGCAGGCATACGGATATACCGCTGTAACATTTCACCGGAAATATTCCAAGGTATATATCGTATTTATTTAATCACAAGGGATGATATGATAAGAGAGTACTATGCTGATAATTTATATCACTTATATAGATCAAAGTCTAATTCATGGGTTAATTGATTCAAGAATATGGTAGGTTGACACACAAAAGAAACTAACCAGAATACTTTTATTAAAATAATAATCTAAACTAAGTGGAGAAAAAATAAGAAAAAAATAATTTCTGAACTCTAGTATAGTCATTTTAGTCTACACTTGCTATTTTACAATTATGCAGCCAATATCCCTAACTATGCCCTCCTGGTATATCGAGAAACCACCCCTAATTGTCGAGTTCCTTACGATAACCCGTCGTGGCCATCCAACCGGTAATGAATACGGAGGAGTACCCACACCAGGAAATTCTCTTATATTATATACGCATGTGGAGGAATACTCGTACTGAGCTGTCACCATCAGCGGCCTACCTGTATATAGACCCGTGGCATATAACCCTATTTAATGATATCTGATAATCTAAGCATTGCGCTTACATTATTAAATACTACTCTACATCTTTGCAGATCACATAGAGCAATATATAAATGAACATTAAACCAATACCATTGCATATCTCCAGTAAGCTAGCTACATAATTATTACGAGACAAGTATAAGCTAAAGCCGGTACTCGAATAATTATATAAATGAAGTAAAGGACCGAAACTATGACAAGAAGAATAATTTATTAATGAATTAAGTCTTACAAGAGAGAGAAGAGCTACTAAAGCCTTATCCGAAATCTCCGGAAGACTTCAAAAACTAAGAGACTGTTCTAATTCTACTCCACTAGCACTAGAACAAAGTAAATAAACTAGAGAGAGCTCTTGATTGCTTCTTCTTGGTGTGTGTTGGAGTGGAGAAGGTGAGCTCCTTTTATAGGGTTCATATGACAGTTGTGGAATTGTCAGAAATGCCCCGCAACCGTCTTTGAGAAGCTATCATGGAATTGTCAGAAAGGGCCTGATGGCGGTTCGGCTTGGTTCAACCGAACCCTGGGCCCCACCTCCTGGCCTATCCTTTGTCCAGGAGGCTGACTGGTGGGTCCTTATGGCGGTTATGACCCATTTTATGGCGGTTTCACCTGACCTATGGGCCCTTCAATACTTGTACTTGCGACTGATTGGTCGGAGGTGTGTCTTTGATGTTATTTTCTTTTATTCTTCCTCCGATTATGTGAAGTTCTCCTGCAAACAATATTTTGCCAAGTATAAATGGAAATAGATTATTCTTAAACAAATATGCATGAAGCATTGCTAGTTCTCCTTTATTTTTGGATATATTGACGGTTGGAATTGGTCTATAACGACCGTCAATAACAATCCGTTGGCATTTCTGGTACATGCTACTTGTTAAGGGCTTGTTTGGCAGAGTTCCAACTCCAGTTCTGGAGCCCAATCAAACGGTTTCAGTTCCACCAAAAAAGGGAGCGGAGCGGGTTAAAGTGCTCTCACAAAATAAACTAAATAGGTGGAATTTGTTTTAGGCTGCTCCACAGCTTCACTTCAGATCCGACTCTTAGAGTTAAATTTAGGAGTTGGAGCCCTACTAAGCATGCCCTAAACCAAAACCTTCCATTGAGGCATTTACTATTTTGATAAATATCAATGGACGTTCACTACATAAATATTTGGTCAACCCTGTCTAAAGAATACCTCTACCCTTTTTAGGGGTAAACCAGCCCTAGTAACTTTTATATTTCATTAACTCCCAATAGGAATAAGTCCACTTTGACTCCCTTGAATAGAGGTCCAACATTCTAATTCATATATCGGTTATCTTTACCACCAAACTATTAAAATTGGTGTAATTTGCTTCTCTCGGCTGCTCTTGAGGGCGGTTTCGCTCATGTAGCACGTTGACTTGGTCCAACCTACTAAGTTATCAATGGGGCCCACATGCCTCCTTTCTTTCTCCTCTCCTCCACTTTCCCCACACCGCTGAGCTATCAGGGAGAGCCAGTGATGGCAGTCGTCGGCGGCACGATGGTGACGAGGAGTGTGACAGCAGTCGGCAATGGTGCATCGACGGTTTCGTCAGCCTCCCATCTCATTGCCACTATCATCCTCGTTCACACCTCCTCCTTCCTGATGAACGTGCCACATCAGCGAAAACCCACTCTCAAAACCATTAAGGGAGTCAAACTACACCTGTTTTAATAATTGGGAGGTCAAAATATCCAGCATTGCAGATCAGGGGTACGAACCAAATTAGACCTATATTTTGAGGTAGTCAAAGTGGACTTATTCCCTCCTAATACAATTGGGCAGGACAAAAGTGCCTCTCCATGCTAAAAGGAAAAGGTACATCGAAGGTACCTCAACTTGTCATCGAGTTACAAAATCGTCCCCCAACCGCAAAACCAGATATAGAACATCCCTCAACTTACAAAACCATTCACTTTAGGTCCTTCGGTGGTTTTGACCCCGGTTTTGTCTGACGTGGCAGCTGAGTCAGCGTGGGACCCACAAGGGCCCCACATGTTAGGGTGTCCACATCAGCGCCCCTCTCTTTCCCCTCTTTCTTTCTCTCTCCCTCTCTCACTTTTCACTTTTCTCCTCTCTTGGCAGCCGGCCGGCGGGCGGGGAGGAGGTCGCCGGGGCGAGGCGGGAGAAGGGGAGGGCGCCGGCTACGTGGGAGAAGGGGGGAGCACAGGTGTCATGCCCAGAAATTCACAAACAAGAATTTCTAAGCTGAATGTGCATTAAATCCCTGTCCAGGACCAGCCAGGGTATACAAACGATAATTGTTGACATACAGATCCACGTCTTACAAAAATATAAAAGATTACAAATGCAGCGGAAAAGATAAAACGAGCTAAACTTGGAAGCTTGACTTCTGCAACGGGCGACTCCACTCCACAGGCAACCCTTGACGGCAGCGACGAAACCAACCCTAACAAGACAGCTCCAACTAGGAAGATCTTCAGCTCTGGTGTGGGAGAAAAGAGAGCAAGACTGAGTACTACCCACTGTACTCAGCAAGTCATACCGGAAGAGGAGGTATGATGCAGGATATAACCAAAGGAGGCTAAGGGTTCATTTGCATAAAGCAGGCATTTAAAATCAGTAGTTGAAAGCAGTAAAAACAATTGTAGTAATTAATCAGTATTAACCAATCACTGTCCAACACTATACCACGTTGCAACAGGCCCAACCAACAATCTGAACTACACCAGTTCATTAAGCTAAACTAGGGGTGAGACTAATCACGGTGAATCTGATTGATCGCCCATAACCGCGGGCACGGCTATTCGAATAGTTTTACTCTGGCCAGAGGTGTACAACTGTACCCACAAGACACGTCGCCATGCCCCGAAGTATCACCATGATACTACAAAGGGGGAAATCGTGAAAAGACCCTTCGCATAACCCTCCCTAACCATCCACACTACGCTAAGGTTTCACCCCCACCCCTCAAAAGGCAGTGGTGAATCCGGAGTTGGGCAGTCCCCTCGTGCGCCGCGGTGAATCCGGCAGCTGGACAACCGGATACCCCGTCCAACCCAACTCCATCACGCCCACCCTCACCACCGGTGCCTAGGAAAGGGTCGAGCTATACTTCAGATCAAGCAGTTACCCACTCCCGCTTGTGGTAAGCACGGTAAGTCTCCCAGGGTTTCCAGCAAACCGGTCCTTAATTGCCATGGGTGCGACTAGCAAAACCATGCACCCACAGCCCACCATTCAGTGTATTTTAATTAACTAACACCATTGCGGTGGCACCAATACAAAGCTATGCTAATAGTCAAAGTCTATGTAATAATGTGATTCCCATTTGTGTACTACTTGAGCTAAGCATGACTAAGCATTTCCTAAACCAACATCTAGTCATTTTGACACCCAAATTATCAATGGCATAAGGTAAACAATATATGGCTGAGTAATAGGACTCATTCCACATGACATTGTAAAAGAATGCAACATTTAATAGAAATGCGGGATATTTGTAAATTGAGTACAATATGATCAATTGTAATGCATGACTTGCCTTGCTCTCGCACTGATGAGACCACAACAACGTCTTTGAGGAACCGCGGATTGACAAAACGGCCGAAATCTACGCGACAAACAAAGCACACAAGCGTGGGTGGCGGCTAGGCACGGCTCGGCTCGGCACAAAGCCGGCCGGCCGGCCATGGGGAGCGGCGGCGCACGGCCGATGCGGCGGCGCAGCCAAAGGCGGCGGTGCACGCGGGAAGGGGAAGAAAAGGAGGGGGGAGTCCTCACCGGCGACACAGCGGCCGGAGCGGGAGGCGAAGGCGGTGACGACGACCCGACGAGCAGAGGGGGCGGACAGGCGGCGACGACACCTAGAGGAGGGGAGGAGAGAAGTTAGGGCAGAGAGGACAACCACGGTAGCTTACATCGCCGGCCGAAAAGGGGCAAAAATGGTGGGCTCACCGGCGAGGCGAGGGAATCAGAGCTCCGGCGTCGTTCGGCGGCAAGCAAGTGGTGGCCAAGGTGCGGGCGGACTCGGTGAGCGCGACGGCGGCTCTAGCGGCGGTGGCGCGCGGCCGGAGATGGGCGGTGGCGGCGAAGCTCGGGTGTGGCGTGGGGAGAGCGGCGGAGTGCACGGGCGAGCGTGGCGAGAGCGGAAAAAGGTTGAGGGGGCTCGGGGGAGCGATTTATAGGTGCGGGAGGGGGCGGACGTGGCCGGGAAACCTCCCTATTTCGCCGGCGATGTGGGGGAGTGGGGAGGAAGAGAGAGAGAGGGGATTCAAAAATGAATCGCGCCTCTATGCGAGCTTGCACGCGTACGGGAGAGGTGTAGGAGGTGGGCGGCGACGTGGGGAGGCGCGGAGTGGGGTGGAGGAAGCGGGCGACGTGGGCGGCTGGAGCAGGCGGCGGCGGTTGCTGGCCTAGGCGCGGGCGGCTGGAGGTTAGGACGACCGACAGGTGGGCCCCACCTGTCGGCAACCCTAGGGAGGAAGGGAGGGGCACGGGCCGGCCCAAAAAGAAGGAGGGTGAGCGTGGCCGGGCAAGATGGACCGGGCCGACGGCCCAAGAAAGAAAAAGAAGGAAAAGGAGAAAGAGGAAAAAGGGAAATGAATTCCTGGGATTTAAAATATCGCGGTTAATGAATTTTAATTGGTTAAAATTATTTATAGGGCTATGAAAATTCCACTAAAAATCCTGTTAATCAATTGTGACATGTGGAACCCAAGAAAAAAAAATCCCATAATGCCCTTTCCAATTATTGAATGCATTTATTAATTAGGGATTTAGCTCTAGGTTAATTAAAACAATTTTTTCGGACGATTTATTTAACCAATTTTTAAAGCAAGAAAAAAGGGGGAAACTTCAGGGCGTGACAACGGGACACGACGGTGATGGCGGCCTCCAGTCTCCCCCAGCCTCAGCCCGTCTTCGCCACCGTGTGCCTCCGGTCTCCCCACCGGTGGCAAACTACCACCAGCACATCAAGCTGCAGTGAGGGCGGGCTCGAATGTGGCGGTTGCGTGGCTGGCCGAGGACCGGGCGTGGTCGGAGCAGCTGCTGCCGGAGACTTGCAAGCGCCGCCACCGCTGGGAGCTGGAGCGACAAGACGCAGGGACAGCGCGACGGCGGCGGCTCGCCAGGACCAAGCGCCGTCGTCGTCGGGAGCTGGAGCTGGAGTTGCGGGAGGCAGGGCACGGGAGGAAGGACAACGGCGGCGGCGGCGACAGCACGGGCCACGGCAGTAGCGGTGGCCTCCAGTCTCCCCTGGCCTCAGCCCTCTTCACCACCGTGCGCTTCTGGTGTCCCCGCCGGTGGCAAACCACCACCAACACACCAAGCTGCAGTGGGGACGGGCTCGAACGTGGCGGCGGCATGGCCGGCCGAAGACTACGCATTGTCAGAGTAGCCGCTGCCGGAGCCGTGCAAGCGCCGCCGCCGCCGGGAGCTGGAGCGGCAGGACGCATGGATAGGCACGACGACGGCGTCTTGCTGGGACCAAGATGTTTACACCCAAATTTGGCACCTAGGATTAAAATAGGAAAGATTGCCAAAATTTGGAAGTCTACCGGTTTCCTTCGAGTGGGCCGGTCTGACCGCCGTGTGTTGGGCGGTCAGACCACCGGTTGAGGGCCAGTCAGACCGGCGGTGTGTGGCCGGTCTGACCGGCAGGTCCGAGTCTAACTGTGTTTCATCGGGTCTCGAGGTTTTCTTGCTCGGGAAAGCATGTTTCGGGTTTCCTTTGGTTTCTACTCCGAGTTGGACGTGGAGGAGGGCCTGTAGAGGGCAAGACCAACCCCTATATAAGGGACATGGCCGGTTCATTGTAAAAAACCAATCTACAATCAATCAATCGAATCGTTTTTCATATTGCTTTTAGTTTTCTCTTAGTTTTTCCATCTTTGTCGGTTTGCGCCGTAAACCGTCCGCCGCCGCTGCGAGAGTGCGACATCTCTTTGTAGGTTTGTCCTGAAAACCTTCCGTTTTGCCCACGAGACGGGTAGTTATCTAGAAATCGGCTCCGCTAGCTAGTTTAGTTATCAAAACCCATCTAGGTTTAGCTCTTTGCTAGATCGAGGTGGTTGGCGACTCTAGGATCACCGCTTGTCAAAAAAAGTTGCCAACACAAGCACCGTCGTCGCCGGCTGCCGGACCAAGGGAGTCCTAACGCGCGCATACGCGCCGCGAACGGAACTCGTGCGTACGCTGCCCCCGTCACAAAGATGTGATTAGCACTAATGATGACGTGATTAGTGATTAGTGCTAATCATAATTAGTACCTAAAAACTTTTTCTTTTTTCTAATAGATTGAGAACTTTCAGGTTAGATTTGAAAATTTCAACTTAAGATTTAAACTTTAAAGTCAAATTTTGAAATCTTTCAACTTAAACTTTGAAAAATTTCAAGTCGAAATTTAAATTTGCAAGATAAATTTTGAAAACTTTCAATTCAGATTTAAAAACTTTCAACTCGAGATTTGACAACTTTCGACTCAGATTTGAAAACTTTCAACTCGAGATTTGAAAACTTTCAAGTTGGATTTGAAAACTTTCAACTCGAGATTTGAAAACTTTCAACTCCGATTTAAAAACTTTCATGTCGAGTTTTTAAATTTGCATTATAAAAAATATTTTTATTAAAATTATCTTATAATAGAAATTTTGATAACTTTCACTACATCCTAAATTAATTAAGATGAAAGCATAAAAAAAAAGAAAGATCGTATAGATGCATGCATGCATGTGTGTAATGCATCTGCACGACTGGAGACCGTGGTGCATGCATGCATGTGCAGTTGGCTTGCCACGTGCGCGCGACATAAGCAACTGGCGCGAGATAGCAATTGTGGCCGGACCACCTCTCCCGCCTCGCCCCGCCCCACCCCGCCGGTCTCCTCCCCATCCGTCAGTCGCCCTACCCAGAGTCCTAGACGAGAAGAGTAAGAGAGAAGAGGGGAAAGAAATAGGGTGACGATGTGGACACCCTGACATGTGGGGATCACGTTGGTCTCACGCTGACTCAGCTGCCACGTCAGACAAAATTATGGTCAAAACCACCGGAGGACCTAAAGTTAACGGATTTGTAAGTTGAGGGATGTCCTAAATCTGGTTTTGCGGTTGGGGGACGATTTTGTAACTCGATAAAAAGTTGAGGGACCTTTGGTGTACTTTTTCCATGCTAAAATCACCCGTTTGTTGTCGTGCTGCCTCACGATCCAATCTAGGAATAAGTCCACTTTGACTCCCTTAAAAGTGACCCGAATCTGATCGATGACCCTAAACCGTAAAACCGGATATCTCGACCCCCGAAATATAGAAACCGCTGCAATTTGACTCCCTTGGTGGTTTTGGAGGGCGATTTCGCTGACGTGGCGGTGTTGACCTAGTCTGTGGGGTTGACGTGGTGCTTAGGTGGCATTTGAATTAAAAACATATATGTGGGACCCGTTTGTCATTCACACACAAAAAATTATGGGGCCCAATGACATGTGGGCCCCACATGTCATCCTATCTCTTTCTTCTTCCTCCCCTCTTCCTCCCTTCTCTCTTTCTTTGTCTCTCTCTCCCCTTCGGCCGGTCGCGGGGAGCACGGGCTAGAGCGGCGGCGGGCGGGGGCTAGAGCGGTGGCGGCCGCCGGGAGTTGAAGCGGCAGCGCCGGTGGGTTGGAGCTAACGGCGGGTTCTGGAGCGGCAGCGGGCAGCTCGATGGCCGGCAAGGAGGCGGGAGAGGACGACAGCGCCGACGAGATCGAGCGGGGGGACGGCGGTAGACGGCTTCAGCGGGCCAAGATCTGGGAGCCGGCGTGGCCTAAGGGTGCTGGGGGGAGACCGGAGCCGATCTCCTTTATGGATCCACGCCGGCGACCTCCTCCACCCCTAGTCCTCACCTCCACCGACACAACGTCCTCACCGGGGGAACGAGCTCCCTGCTCCCTCCGCTGCCTCCCGCTGTCCGCGACAATAAGATCCGGCACTCTGGCCTTTTCGCCGATCGCAACAACAAGATTCGACATATGCGGCAGGCTCATGACATGGCTGATGTCGAGCCTGTCAAGATGGTTAGGGGCGAGGGCCGCCATCAAGCTACGCCATTCAGCATTGCAACGACGACGTCATCGAGTCATCGCTCGAGCTCGCTGCGTGGCTGTCAACTTCCGTGCCATCTAAGCGCCACGTCAACCTCACAGACTAGGTCAACACCGCCACGCCAGCACCGCGTCAGCGAAACAGCCCTCCAAAACCGCCAAGGGAGTCAAATTGCACCAGTTCCAATAGTTCGGGGGTCGAGATATTCGGTTTTGCCGTTTAGGGTCATGGATTAGATTCGGGTCACTTTGAAGGGAGTCAATGTGGACTTATTCCCCCAATCTAACCTGTTCCTGATCTTCAATGGCCCAACAAGCATTCACCGGCCCAACAAAGCCCGAATAGGAAAAGAAAAATGAAAAAGCAGGCACACGCACGCCGGTGGCGGCGGCGACCAGATCAGATCATCAGAGTAGAGCGCGGGAGCCGCTTGCGGTCTCTGGAATCTTCCAGCCACGCCCGCGCTCCCTCCCACTTCCCCGCCATTAAAAATCCCCAGCCCTCGCGCAAATCCCGCTCCAAAACCCTAGCCGCCACCCTCCCACTCACCCCCACCGCCGCCACCGCCGCCGCCAACCCCCAACCATGCAGCGCGCCGCCTCCCTCGCCCTCCGCCGCCTCGCCGCGGCCGCCCCACGCCCACCACCGGCGCATCTCGCCGTTGGGCCCGCCGCTCCCCGCCTGGCAGCGGCGGCGCCGCCATCCGCCGCCGTGGCGCGCTTCCTGCTCCACCCCGCGGGCGCGACCCCCGCGGCGCTGCACGCGCGGAGAGGGTACGCCGCCGCGGGGCGGAAGGCGAAGGCGGTGAGCGAGAGCGAGGACGAGGACGAGGACGATGAGTTTGAGGCCATGGGAAGCGACGGGGAGTTCGACGACGACCTCGACGAAGACTCCGACGACGACGACGAGGTGTCCGGCTTCGAAGATGACGACGACGACTGCAAGCCCGCGAAGAAGCGTGGGAGGCACTGAATCGCTCACCTCGGCTCGGCTCATGTATTGTTTGTTTGGTTTCTCACCGATTTCTTTCTTTAGAATCGAAGAATGAATTCGAGATAGAGCGAAAGGAAAATTAAACAATAATTAGTAGTAATAACATGGGAGGTGATTGGGTTTATCATGTTTTGAAGCAGAGAATTGCTGTAATTTTTTTTTGTTCCTTTGTCTGAAGGAGACCGAAGCTATCCGAGCATGTCAACTTCGTAATACATAAAAGGTTCAGTTTTGCACGGTTTCTGACAGAGATTTTGCTTGAATGTGTCGTGGTTTATTAGCCTTGGTTTTTTAAACCTGTGTGATCTACTCTGCCAAACTTGAAAGGCGAGTAACAAATCAAAACTTCTGTAAAATTCACAGTTCACTCTCATAGTCTCATGCCATTAAAGATCCTCCATGTTCTTGTTTGTGCCACTAAGGCAGATGAAAAAAAAAGGGATTGCTATATGGCATTCGAATGAAATTTGGGGAAGAAATCTTACAGATCTTGGACCATTGGATTCATGCCAAGATTCATGCATCGGCTTCTCTCCTCCAACTCCGGTGGGCTCCCTTCTTCTCCGGCGCTGGCGACACCCCAACTCCGGCGGGTTAGGGTTTGGGGTTGGGGTGAGGGTAGGAGGGGGGTTGAGGGAGGGGGAAGCGGGGGGTTTCCTTGGGGCTTAGAGGGATGGCCGTGGGCGGAGGACTGGCGGTGGGTGGTGGACTCCGGCAGGCGGCGAGGCGGCGGCGGCGCCGCCGAAGCCGCGGGGATGGAGGAAGGCAGTGGGCCGGCGTCGGCGGCAGGGGCAAACAAAGCATGAGATTAGGAGGTGGTGGATCCGGTGGCGGGGAGCCGCCGGAGACAGGGAAGACGGTGGGACGGGGGCACCTCGAGGAGAGGAGGGAACGGGGAGAGGGGGGAAGGGGGAGGGGGCTCGCCGGCGCCGTTGACCCCTTCCGGCGAGGCGGGCGGCGGCGCGGTGGGGCGGTGGCGGCGGAGGATCGCGCGAGGACGGAGGAGTGGTGGTGGTGTGCGATCTGAATCGGGAGGAGGAGGAGAGGAGCTAGGGTTAAAAGGATCTGCATAAATCTTGAAGCATATCCAATGGTTTAAAATTCGAATGATATGAGGTGGGATTTTCTGTCACAAGATGTATAGACAGCAAAAAAAAAAAAAAAAAAAAAAACAAGAGAAGATGAGTCGCCTCTTCTCCAACAAGCGAAAACATCAAGGAAGTGCCAAAGCAGAGGAAAACCGGTAGAACGGATGTTTGACAACCCAACAAGTTGAAAACAGCAAAGCGAAGTGGAGCAACAAAGTCAAGGAGGTGGAAGAACAAGAACTCAAAATGCTACCAACAGTTCAGAGATTCCAAAGCTTGGAGCTGGCACTGAATTAGCTGACGAACCAACCATATGTTTGTGCATGTGTACTGAAACGAATATTTTTTTTACAGTGTCACTCCTTTTACAGTGGTATTTACATGTATGTGAGTACATAACAAACTTGTGATCTTTTCCAGCTCCTGTGAACTTGTGTTTTATTTCAACAAAAGAAGGGAAGTCCTATCAGAAACACTGCAAATATAGGCACAAATTTGAGCACATCCAAAGGGACAGGCAAGCAAAATAACAGCCTAGTTTGCTTCGCGTAGTTTGTTAATAGTAAACTGAACGCTCGATAAATACTTTTACCTTACCAAATTTTTTGGAGAACTAGTACATAAACATGATTCTGACATCAAACTAAAATTCAAACCAAAAATCGGTGGCACTGACTAGTTCAACCCAACACCACTGGACATCATTCAGAAGTTTTTTTTTTTTTTTTTTTTAACTAGGAGAGCCAAGCTCTCCCCATTTCTATTACCAGAAACGGAAGCTACAAAAAATTCAGAGGATTTAAAACAACATCGAAAACGACCTGACCAGGTGCCATCCAACCATAGTTGGGGGAGACTTCAGGCATATACGAAAACTATCTTACAACCAACTAATCAACTACTGCAAAGAGAAAAACAAACATAGACATCAATCCCAGAGTGATCCAAAGCAGATCACCACCCAGATCAGATCGAAAAGCAGAACTTCAGCTTAGCACACAACCACCCAAAGAAAAAAAAAACCATCGAGCAGCTTCATGCCTTCATCCCCTACCCTTCTCGCAATCTCATCATCTTGGGACTCCAGCAATTTAAATTCATCTGCCATTCAGAAAACAAATACTCCTAGTACTTATCTAAACATGCCATGCTAATTTCAAATAGGAAATTGCTATGCATATGACCCAACTATCCGACTGAATTTGATCGACGGCTGTAAAAGGTTGCAGTGCATATGAACATGCTCTCCTTCGATTAATCTATCGTTGCATATATCTAGTTATATATATGAGTTGTACAATTGAGGCCACATTCGTTTCCTCTACAAAGACTAGATGAAGTTTTGGATTTTCGCGGTACGCATTTCAAACTGCTAAACGGTGCGTTTCGTGCGAAAACTTTCTATATGAAAGTTGTTATAAAATATCAGATTAATCCATTTTTCAAGTTTGTAGTAATTAAAACTCAATTAAACACACATTATTACCACCTCATTTTGCGTAAAACACTTAATCTTCAACTTCATCTTTAGAAGATTCAATCACCACCTGAGTCGTATATATAGCAGTACTCTTTCAAATAATCTGTACATAACCACTGCTGCTTTGCTAACAGGCGCCGAAAGGCCGTCCGTCCGACAAGTGGGCCAGACCGATAGGTCGGCCTATATGGGTCTTATTGGGCCTATTTCTCCGCCCAAAGCCCATCTCAGCGCACCCGCTCAACCTTCCCCATTTTACCCCCTCCACTCGCCCTTCAATCTCCCACTGCCACCTCGGCCCCACCACCAACTTACCCAGGAAACACCCGTCCGATTCACATCCAACGATCCGCAACCCAGGGGCAAATCCGCCATTCGTTCCCCACCTCAAACCCTAGCCTCGCCGCATCCCGACTATAAAACCCTCCCCTCTCCGCGAACCCTAACACCATCCGGCGGCGGCGCAGCAGCAGCAGAGGTGAGCTCGGCGGCGGCGGCGGCGGCGGCGACCAACCACACCGGCGAAGGAGAAGGAGATCCGTACCAAGCCGCCGCGATGGTGAAGTTCCTGAAGCCGGGGAAGGCGGTGATCCTGCTGCAGGGGCGGTACGCGGGGCGGAAGGCGGTGATCGTGCGCGTGTTCGAGGAGGGCACCCGTGACCGCCCCTACGGCCACTGCCTCGTCGCCGGCCTCGCCAAGTACCCGAAGAAGGTGATCCGCAAGGACTCGGCGAAGAAGACGGCGAAGAAGTCGAGGGTCAAGTGCTTCCTCAAGCTCGTCAACTTCACCCACATCATGCCCACCCGCTACACCCTCGACGTCGACTTCAAGGACGTGGCCTCCGGGGGACCCGACGCCCTCGCCACCCGCGACAAGAAGGTGGCCGCCTGCAAGGCCGCCAAGGCTCGCCTCGAGGAGAGGTTCAAGACCGGCAAGAACAGGTGGTTCTTCACCAAGCTCCGCTTCTAGGCGCGCCTTCTTGTTCTTGCTATCATCCGTTAATCTATATCTGCTTTTTTTGGTATCTGTGTCCATGAAGACTTGGTTGTTAGTATTGAGTTTAAAATTAAGACATGATGATGCTCATGTGTTATGAAGTCATGCCAAGGATAGATCTGGTTGAAGTTTTGTTTGGGAATTACACTGCTTCAGATGCGATTTGTTTTCCATGTTCCTCCATTTCCAGCGGTGATTCATTGCGATGTGCCCAACAGTGTTTTGCGGACATGATTTGCAACTTAATTAGGTCTACTAACTCGCATGGCTATCAAAATTTAGCAACTGTAATCTTAGGCAATTCTTTGGTAATGGTAGTGCAACTTGCGATAGGTTGCCTGATTAGTGTTTAGGTATCGATTTGTTTGTTTCATGGTGTGCAAGGTGATTGGTAGCACTTGGTTTCTTTGGTTGGATGGATTACATGGTTGGCTATGCACTGTTATGTATGTTAGCTGTTTATGTTATGCTTCAAGTATTAAGGTTCAATTGGCTAGCTGCTTATTTGTTTGCATTGTTGGATTTGAATCCGAATGCAAAGTAATGAAATAGGACGTCTATAAGTAACTTATTTCATTCTTTTAGTTGTTGCAATCAGTGGCTGCACTATGATCCTTGTAGAAATCTTAGATAGATTAAAAAAAGTGTAATTGTCCTATCCTACTTCAGTGTTGAGCTTAGACAGTTTAGTGGTAGGTCTGGATGTTTTGCATCAAGTATTGTGGGATTGTGGTTTGGCTGTTTATGTTTTTTTAGACTACAGTTGTTCTGGCTAACAATGCTTTGTGACAAGTCTGCGCCTAAATTTGTACAATCTGATTGAGTTATATCATGGGGATAATGGCATGGTTGATGATTCTATTTTGATTTTGGTGACAATACATTGGTAAATGTTAGGTGATGTTCCAATGGACAGTTTCAGTATTTTGCTTGTATGCGGTTATGAGTGATTATAATTTTTACATAGATGCTCATTGCTTTCTGTTGTGTAAGCTAGAGAAGATGCTTTGGGAAAGTTATTTATATCACCTAACGTTCAGCTTGCCTTTTTGAAAATGTTCTATTTTGAACAAAGATGCCTCGATTTGTTCAGAATGTCATATACCTAGAAAATTTAATTGATTCCATGAGTTCTGATGGGATCATTTCTTCTCCTCACGGTACCACATCACGCTATGATATTGGCACTCAGTCATGTCGTGGTATTGCGTTTCTTCTTTTCTTGCATCGCATAAAATCTTCGGGGTCTGATAGAACTGATGCCAATAGGGTATTGTTATCTTGATGAGATGAGAGTAACTGTTTGCCCGGATTTCGATCCTTCTTTTCCTGTTTATGTATTGCCTGATGCTGTTGTGTTATTTTGTTTTGCTTTGTGTTGTACTAGTTGTGTTTCGGTATGTGTAGAGCTGTCTTTTAGAATTGTTTCCCAGAACGCCGATTCTCAACTATCACTCTATCAGCTCGATGAATGCTTTGCATGATGGACACCAGCCCTGTGAAGCATCCTTCGTACATCATTTGTGCAATGCGCTTTGTTCATCTGAGCTCCAAACTTCGGAGCGTATCCTTCCTATCTCAAGGATTCTTGAAGACGAATCATCTAAATAACCAACTTGCGTGTTGCAAGGCAGCGGTGGTACTCACTCCCTTGCATCCGACCGTTCAATGGCCTTAATCTAATGGGTTTCTCCCCCTACCTTTTTCAACTCACTTCGCTCGTGTTGTGCACGTTTTTTAAATTGATAAACGGTGCGTCTTTTGCAAAAGAAGCATTACTCCGTTTTAGTGCGTGGAAGGTGAGGTTAGCCTAAATGTCGGTATGCCTCATCATTCTCACCTTGTTGTGGACCAAGCTAAGGCTTGTTTAGGGAGTTTCTATCCATTTAAACTGTAAGATTGTCACTCTATTATGAGATTTTGTAGTTGATTATGAGATTTTGTAGTTGTAGAATCTAGAAAATGAACTATAGCTAAAAGCTGGGTTAGTAGCTTCTCTAGATTCTCTGAAGTTGATTACCGATTCTCCCCAAACTGAGCCTGCAGGCGGCCGGGGTGATTGGCATGTACTCACCCTTGCTTCAACCCCTTTTTTCAGAGTCTATTTGGAGTTTTTGCCAAAGCTGGGAGTTCAATCACATAAGTTAGTTCCCTTTAAACCTAGTCTTCAAGTCTAGTATAGTTAGACGGTTTAGTTCTATAGTAAAACGATAGAGTTGGGTCATCGTATAGCTTCTGCTGTAATAGTTAGCCACAAACTTGTAAATGTCCTATTATTTTATATATAAAGATATCTCCTTTGGAGCCTTGACCAAATGTATGCAATGAAGATCCAGATTATTGAACCTGTATCAACCTACTGATCCAGGGCTTGATACAGTTAAATATGTCGGTTTCTGAATCGTTAGTTTTGGGATCCGACAGCGCTGGTATCAGTAGAGGCAGGAAGCCATCCTATATTGCATACTGCTATCACGTAGTTGAATGAGTTGATTTTAGTGATATTGAGTTCAAAAGAGGAACTCTTTTCGCCACTTGTTGTGGTCCTTTCATAGATCTAGCTTCTTGGTCCTTTCTGAACTCCACTTCAGAGAAGGGGATTGAGAGTTTACACGAGGGAATTGATGATGAGATTAAGATGAGAATTTGATTTTTAATCCCAATATCTTGTTTGGTAGAGGCGATGAAAATTGATACGGAGTTTAGTTGGAGATTAGATCATTAATAAAAACGGATGGATGAGATTTGCTTAGACAAAGTAAAGGAGAAATTCCCTCCCAATTATCTGCCCCTACCCAGGTATTGAAAAGGAGGGAGTTCCTTCCACAATTCCCCATTCCCATCCTACCAAAACTCCCATGTCTCTCAACCAAATAAAACACTTAATAGCCTCATCCTTCTAAACTCTCAATCCCTCCTAAAAACTTCTAACCAAAACAGGCCGTTGAGTCTTGAATCCAAGGTCTACGCCTCTTCATCCAATTTTAATCTTAAACAAGACAAAGGGAACATTTAACGCCAAGAGGATCCATCAGTATTATGACTTGTGAGGGAAAAAAAATGCATACTTTGCGTGGAAAAAATATGCAATGTGAACAAGCATATCATCCCTGAAATTCACCGTTAATATTCTTCCTCATTCATAATAAATATCGTCAAATAAAAAGGTACAAAGATTTACAAGTAATTTTCTTGTCAACCTGGCAATTCGACACACGCCTATTTACAATGACAGTCACTTGTTCCATACGTATTCAGCGTGGAATGTGGATTGCTTTGATGTTGCAGGAAAAGATTTGCCCTTATATCAAAATAGGGAAAATTGGAACCATGCCATTATAATTTTGTAAAATTTGAGATATGCCATCCTGACCTACATGCCATTATAATTTTATAAAATTTGAGATATGCCATCCTGACCTACATGTCATTGACTCACGTGGGTCCTCCATGTCATTGAGATACTGATGACATATCTCAAACTTTGCAAAATTATAATGGCATGGTTCCAATTTACCTATAAAAATAATAATTCCTCAAACTAGACTTGCAAATTTGGTGCAACAACAAAGAACAGCCCGGGTTAATAAAACTGTGAAAATGATTCGGAAAGAGAATTTTTGGAAGCTAAAATTTGAGATTACTTTCAAACTATTAAAGGAAGGGACTCGAAAGCTTATTTATCATTAGAAATTGCATCAACAAAAATACGGTAGTAAGCAGAGGATTTGAAAGCTAACAAACCAAGTTTGCATCAACTTATAATTAAGAAGCAAATCAACGGATAGCTTGTTACTGAAAAAGTAAGACCTATAATTCTTCAATATGCAGAAAGATGAATCGTTTACAGCAAGTTTAAGCTAGTCTACATGACGCCCGCGGGGGGCATGGCACAAAATGGCAAAAAAAACTTGAATCGCATTATCTTTTCAAAACAGAAGATGACTTTTTTTTGAGAAAAGACGAGAACAATTTAATGATATGAAATTTTACATGCTAACACAAACAGAACAATATACATCTCCCTATTTACCCATAAACAGTATAAGAAACAAAGATCATACAATCAAGACCAAAGCGCACGGAACATACTACATCAAAACCTATGAAACATATTACAGGCGATTCAACGAAATGGCATTGCAACAAATACACACTAAATCATTTTGAAACCAACAAAGGCAGACAAAAAAAGAAGGCATACCTGCAAAATTGGCGAACACAGATGTCAATTAACTATCAGCTTCCCATACTGCCGCGAACCAAGATGCATGTTTAGACAGGAGAGCTAATAGATACAATGCATCTTTACACGTCTTCCTGCTCTCGACCAACACTTTCCTAACAGACAAGTTTACCACAACTAACTTCAGCTAAACTAACTATACTAACCATTCTACTTCCTGGACAAAATAGTCTCCTCCAGAAGACCAGAACCCGCACAAAGAGATCAATTGGCTCACTCCCGTAATGCTCTACTGACCCACTGCACATTTTGGACCAAGCATCACTGTGCCTTACAAGCCACCTGTATGCTGTTGCTCTTGCTCTGTATTGCTACTGCTCCCACGATGCTCCTGTTGCAAGGCCCCTTGTTCACGACATGGGTTATCATTCTGTGCATTTTCTCTGCTCTCCGTTATCAACTTCTCTTGAATCTTGTCTAGTTCCTGCATGAATATGCTGCATTTTGCTTCATCATGGCAAATTTTCGGGCAAATTTCAGCCGCTTTACTCATTAGCATTGCATATCTCAATGTATTTTCTGAATCCTTTATACCATGCTTGTCAAATAATTTTTCCTTGTTCTGTTTTAGCTGCTCCTCTCTGAATTTTTTAGTCCATCTGGGCATTATGTACTGCTCTGGTATTTCATTGATTCCAAACTGAGTGAAAAGTCTGAATATGTGGCAGCAAGGTATTCCATCCCTTGTAAATTTTGCACATTGGCACTTGAATGCATTGATGCCAGGTTCAGCAAGCACTTCAAAATAATTTCTATCAAACTCTGGGTTCTCATAGTTGAAGACCTTTTCAAGTCTGTACACTGTCCCTATTTGTATCTCCTGCACGTTGAATGCAGTAGAATGTAGTAGTTCTTCCTGTACTTTCAGAAATATTTCCCTTGTGTAAATATGTGCTGCATGTTGTTCTATTGGTTGCATTGAGATGTATTTAAGGTCAGCTCCTGACTGAAATCTATCTTCTTCATGAACTTTTGCTATATTCTCTTGTATCTCCTTAAATTGCCCAATGAACTTATCTATTGTGTCCTTTGGAAGCATATTACCTTTAAATAATGAGTTTATTCCCTCGTTGGAACCAACTGAGTCAATAAATGGGTAGAGATCTTCTCTAAAATAGACAGGTGCCCAACTTTTTCTTGTTTGCCACATGAGTTGCAGGTGTTGGTTTTCACTTGCATTGTATCTCTCAATAAGCTCAACCCATCCTTCTTCAAATTCTGTTTCTACCAGCGAGTTGCCTACTAAGTTATGTAGATCTGTATTTATGTTACCTCTTGCTGTCATGAAGTCTCCAAGCTTTTCCTGAGCTTTGCTCATAACATGCCGCTTGCAAAACCTAAGCCTTACATGCGGCATGAGTTCTGCAAATGCCTTCTCCATTGATGTGTCCTGGTTTGTTATGACCGCTCTTGGCATTTTTCCTCCCATCACTTGCAAAAATGTACGCAACATCCATTCGAAGGTTTCTACTTTCTCATCTTTTAACAAAGCACATCCTAACAGGAAGGGTGTCGCGTGGCTATTTATTCCAATAATAGGCACAAAAGGCATGTTATACATATCAGTGCTATAGGCAGCATCAAACATAATGAGATCTCCGAAAATATCATACTCGATCCTCAATCTTGCATCAGTCCAGAAGATGCTTGTAACTGTGTTGTCCTCATCTTTTTGCATTACGTACAGAAATTCTGGGTTTTGAATCTGCAATTCTGTGAAGTGCTTCAATGCGCTTTCAACATCTGAGTTTGCTTTTCTATGTTCTGTCTGTGCTATGTTGTGCTCATCTTTATTTTCAAATGGTATGTCTCCGAAACAAACTCTTAGTTTCCTGAAAATCTTCATAATTTTCTTAGGAGGTACCCTATTTTGTTGCAGAACTCTTAAAAATGACTTCTCTCCAGTTGACATTTGTTTGTGGTCTACTATGAATCTTGCAAGCAAAGGGCTTGGGCATAACGGATGATTGTGCTCATGGCGAACTGCTGTGAACTCCCATTCTCCCTTATCGAGTTTCACTATCACCCTTGCCTTGCATTGTGTCTTCTCTACAAGATTGCTTCTCCTCTTCTTCATTGGGTTTTCAGATGACTTCGTTAACTTCATTTTGCCACTCTTGTTGCATTCTAAGTGAAACTTCTTTCTCTTGTAGTTGGTTCCCCTCTTTCCTACAAAACCAGTAAGGAGAGCATGTGCGTAATAGAATCTTTGTGCGGCTTGAAGGGATGGAAATTTCATTCCGGGTTCTGGTGGTCTTGAATTCTTCAGTTCGTCGAAACTAGGATAGAAGTACTTCCCAAGCTCCTTATCCGACTCATCACCTGAGCTGCTGTCTGAATTGCTTTCACTGCTTGTATCCTCGCTTGGCGCTTCACTGCTTTCCACATTATCATGTGATCTGTTATGCTCTTCAGTATGCTGAAGTGAATGGTCTATCGAGCTTGTTTGGTCTCCCAATTTATCTACAATTGGTCGTTCTGTATTTTTGTCTATGCCATTTGAAGATTGCTCCTGCATGCAAGAGAATAACTTACGTTAAGCTACTATTTGATACCTTATTATTGGTACTCTTGTTAGATTTCACCTTTTCATACCTGATAATCACCAGCTCGCTGTAGTTTGTCAACAGGTTCCTTCTCTACAGTAGATATACTAATCTCTGCATGTCTAGGCATCCTTTTGTTGTTTACCTGAGGTACAACCAGGATAACAGATCATTAAAAAATCACTTCCATCACATGTATACAAAACAAAAATATCTGGGGAACCTTTGTTAGCAAGCTTACTTCATTTGAATCAGCTGAAATAAGAGGTTGCGACAACCGTTCCTCAAGATTATCTGCCTGTGTCAGTTGGTCACTATTTCTCTGAACATCCAGCTGTTTCTGGCTTGGAGGATTTCGCCTGCGTTTGCGCTTTGAGAATCTAAGCGAATAGCTAGGACACAATGGATGGTTGTGTTCATTCCGGACTGCTGCATACTCCCATTGTCCCTTATTGAGCTTCACTACCACCTTTGCCTGGCATTGAGTCCTCTCTATAATATTTTTCTTCCTCTTCCTCTGTGGGTTCGGAGTTAGCTTTGATGTGCCAGTCTTGTGGCACTCTATGGTAAACTTTTTTCTCCTGTAGTTCGTCCCCCGCTTTGCAACAAAGCCAGTTTTAAGAGCATGTGTCTCATAGAATCTCTGTGCATCTTCAAGTGTTGCAAATTTCATTCCAAGTTCTGGTGGTCTTGCATTATCCAATTCCATTAAACTAGGACTATAGTGTGCTCCAAGCCCTTTATCTGATTCATTTCCTAGGCTTCTGTCAGAATCGCCATCACTGTTTCTATCATCGCTTGACACTTCATTGCTTTCCATATTATCATGTGATTGGTTTTGTCCATCAGTATGCTGCAGTGATTGGTCCATTGAGTTGGTTTGTCTCCCTAATTGATCCACGTATAGTTGTTCTGCAGTTTTGTCTATGCCATTTGAAGATAGCAGCTGCACGCATGCAATTGAATATTTCTTGTTAAGGTAGCTATTCACTGCCATATTCAAATGTCCATATTAAACCTCTCCATAAGCATTGTCTGGTTTTCATACCTGATAGCCATCACCAGCGAGCTGCAGTCTTCCTTCTGTTATCACTTGCTTCTCAACAGGTTTCTGCATTTCGTTTCGCAGTTAATGCCAGGCACAAAGTGATTCTAAAAAGTCAAAGTGATTCTAAATACCTTGATCAACTCGACTGGAGTTATCACCGTTTGCCCATCATTGTTACTGGTCTGTAATACATGTATGTGAGACAAAGCAATTAGCCAAGTCTTTGTTACTACCTATAGCTGCATTTTGCCAAATTTATGTATGTCATTGTCTGATGGATGAACGCGGTAGGTAAACAGATAATGTTCAAGTTAAACCTTTTCGCCGCGCAGCTCTGGTTGGCACCAGGCTTGTACAGGAGAAATTTCATTCCCCAGATTGTTTACACGAGCAAAAACCTGGAGAACAGATCTCTTAAAAAGGTCAATTTCACCGAAAGCACTTAACCGATTCCAATTCTCTGCAATTCTCTGCAAAAGATGCAATGGCGAGGGTACATACATTGGCTATATATATGTGATAGCGATCTCACCTGTTCGGAATCAACTGGAAGGATGTGCATCAGCACGTCCTCCATGGGAGGAGGGCCGGCCCGTGCCAGCAGCTCATCATCTCCACCATGAACAAGTGCCTGTTTCTGGATTGGATTTGGGAGGAGACGAAATCAATCAAAAACCCCCCTCACAGCACAGCATCTACTACCTCGCACGGGAAGTTGCGGAGAACAGAGTGGAAATCGCGAGTTGCGCGCGTCTTCGACCGTACCTCATACATGTCGGGAGGAGAAGAAGGCATCATCACTCCATAGCCCGCACGGCGTTCGTTCGTGGACACCCCACCTCCCGCCGCCGCCGCCGCCGCCGGTGACGGAGATTGCGCCGCCGCGTGAGGAGGCAGCAGCGGGTAGGGAGGGCGGAGATGAATCGATTCCCTTCCCGGAGAAGGGCGGAGGAGAGGGCTAGGGTTCGCGGTTCCCGGCGGCGAGGATGCTAGGGCATCGAGAAGGGAACAGCGGCCGCGGCTGCCGGGGGGACAGGAGAGTTTTTTCTTTTTTCTTTTTTCCTTTCTCTTCTTTTGTTTTTTTCGTGAGAAACAAGCCCATACATCTGGCTTGGTCGGTGGATGGGCCGGGCCGCTTGTGCTTCGTGGGCCGTTGCCATCTGCGGCCGAAATAAGTCCACCGGCCTTTCCTCAACTTTACGTCGAGTCCGCATGCGAGAATGCTATTGGGCGATCAGTCGCGCGCCTCCCTCCCCGCGCGACTGGAGATGAGAGGGGGCGGCGACGCGCCGCGAGCGAGTTTTTCGTTTTTTCCTTTTTTTTCGTTTCTGTTTGTTTTGTTTTTTTCTCCGGTTTTTATTTTTCTGTTTGGATTTTTTTCTCTGGTTTTTTCTGGTCGGTTTGTTTTTTCCCAGTTTATCTTCTTTTGGTTTTTTCTTTTTTTAAGATGTATAAATATAAAGTTTGTATTCGTATATATACCAAGTTTGTATTCGTACGTATAGAACTTTCTATACGCGCATACAAACTTTCTATACGCATATACAAACTTTCTATATGCGCATATAAACTTTTTATACACGCATATAAACTTTCTATAGGTGTATACAAACTTTCTATAGGCGTATACAAACTTTCTATACATGTATACAAACTTTTTATACGTGTATACAAAGTTTATATACGCGTATACAAACTTTCTATACGTTATGTATTTTCTATTTTTTTTATTTTTTAGTACGTATACAAACTTTGTGTATGTGTGTATATATTCTTTATGCATTAAAATATATTCGTATATATATATATATATATATATATATTATATATATATATATAGTATATACATACGTATATACATAAGACGTATATACATAAGATGTATACAGTAGCTGGGGGGGGGGGGGGTGACTGACCGCGCGCGCGGCTGATCGCGTATCAGCACCCCCCGTATGCATGGCGTTCTTAATCCCCGTTACCAGACATGTCAACTCCTTAAGTGTTCACCATGCTTAATAGTTTAAACCATATTTTCTCCGGTTTTCGCTGACGGCGGGTCTATTTCGGCCTGTTAGGAATGATGATGGCCAACCCTTGGGCCAGGTTGGACGGCCGTGATCGCTTCAAGATCCGTGCAGGTTGTTGCTCGTATTAAAAATCCAGCTCTTTTTTATTAAAAAAAATATTCAGGAACAACTTTGGTTATTCAGAAACAGAGTACATGATGGATGATATAGATTGCAGTAGAGAAATAATATCTAAGATTTCTTGCATGACAACTTCTATTAGGATAAGTGATGTGAGATATGTTGTGTCGATCATGAAGAGGTATGGGCGGCTGATAAGATTTTACTTAACTAGCTTGTCTGCCACCCTATTGATCTCCCTTGGAATCCACATGACCTCCATGGAACCTTCTAGAATATTTGTTTGACTCCAATGGCCTGGATCCTCATCAAATGGGCCTGTTTAGTTCGCTAAAAGAGAATTTTTAGGTGTCACATCAGACGTTTGACCAGATGTCGGAAGGGATTTTCGGACATGAATGAAAAAACTAATTTCATAACTCGCCTGGAAACCGCGAGACGAATCTTTTGAGCCTAATTAATCTGTCATTAGTACATGTGGGTTACTATAGCACTTACGGCTAATCATGAATTAATTAGACTCAAAAGATTCGTCTCGTGATTTCCCCACTAACTGTGTAATTAGTTTTCAAATTTATCTATATTTAATACTCCATGCATGTGTTCAAAGATTCGATGTGATGTTTTTGGAAAAAAGTTTTGGGAACGAAACAGGACCAAAGTTTCTCTTCTTGGCTGTGTCTGCATTCACTACTACATGATAGATTTTCCTGTACGCCACCCCTTTTGTTTCCAAGCGGTTCGTAAGTGGAACAGCACGGAAAAATAAGGGGACCGGCGCGGGGCTGTCACCCGCACAGGAAAATCGATTTTCTCAGGCGGGCCTCCTAATCTGACCGCACGGGATAATCATCATTATCTCATGCGGTCGATTTAAGTGGACCGCACGACAAAATCGATTTTTCCGTACAAGCTTTTTAAGTGGACCGCACAGGAAAATACCTCCCTCCTTCCCACCCATCCACTTCAAAATTTTCACATCCTCTCTCTCTTACTTTATCCCCTATTATCTCTAAACTACCCCCTCTCTCTCTACTTTATCTCTTCCTTTCTCTACCTTATCTCTTCCCCAGTCAACTCCCTCCACACCTTCCACTCCTCCTCCCCCTCTCCTCCTCCCCTTCCCCTCTGTCAGGCCGGCGAGGCGACAAACGGAGCTAGGCGGCAGACCGGTGCGGCGAGCGGGCGAGGCGGCGGCTGGTCGCGGCGACAGCTGGGCGCGGCGGCGAGCGGGCGAGGCGGTGGCCGGGTGAGGCGACGGCCGGGCGAGGCGACAAAGAAGCGGATCCATAGAGTCAATGGCCTCGACGATACCGCCCACCACCACCGCAAGCCATCCCCGCCGTTCGTCGCTGCTACCTCGAGAGGCGCGGCGGTAGCTTGGCTCAGCGGCTGCTCGCCCTCGCCGCTGCCTCGGGAGGCCCGCCTCGATGACGACGACCTCGACGTATGGCTGACCTCGGCGAGCTCGCGACAACGTTGACGGGCTCGGGGGAGACGGATCCGTTGACGGTGGGCGTAGTAGAAGCGGATCCGTCGCCGATGAGCTTGCGGTGGCGACGGCCGGATGCGGGTGGGCGGCGATTTTCGATTTTTTTTTTATTTTTGGTATTTTTGGTTCCGTGCGGGCGGCATTATTTGACTGCACGTGATAATCGATTATCCCGTGCGGTCCACTTAACCCGACCGCACAGAAAAATAATTATCCCGTGCGGTTGGGTCGTCCGCACGCGAAAATATTTATTTTTCCAGATGCATGGCTCTAGACGGGGGAAACCTCCGTATGGAAAAATCAATTTGACCGTATGGAAAAATAGTTTTTTAAGTAGTGATTCGTCCCGTTGTCAGTGAGGAAGATAATCCCTGCAAATTGCAAAATTCAAAAATTTGGCCGCCTCCATAGCTAACTGGAGCGCCACCAATTCTGCCTGCAAAGAGCATTGTGAGTAGCTGGCGAATGAAAGAAGATTCCAATCCTGTCGTTCCATTTTTCCACTCCGCATCAAACCTAGCAGCAACTGGAATTTTTTTTATTTTTAATTTTTTTTATTAAAAGTTTTACAAAAATAATTTTCCATTTTGAAAATTGACGGAAGTAGTCGCCTACCGCTCTCTGGGAGGGCGATTTTTAAAAATCGCCATCCCAGAGGGCGGCGAAAATGACGTGGCAGACGGCCGTTCGCTTTCGGGCGACGGCCGTCAACGAAATTTGCAGGCGGCCCCCTTGCCGCCCTCCGCTAGGGCGATTTTGTACTGTGCGGGGGGCCGCCTGCAAATGGGCGGCGAGGGGGCATGGAATTTTGCAGGCGGCCCCCTTGCCGCCCTCCGCTAGGGCGATTTTGTACTGTGCGGGGGGCCGCCTGCAAATGGGCGGCGAGGGGGCATGGAATTTTGCAGGCGGCCCCCTTGCCGCCCTGGGGGAGGGCGATTTTTGCCTCCCCCTATAAAGCCCAGTCTCCCCTCTCTGAAATTTCATTATATTCACTAAAAATCCAAAAAAAACGAAAGAGAGAGAGAGGAGAGGGCAGCAGAAGGGGAGCGGCGAAGCCCTGCTGGTTCGCTCACTTCATCACAGGTTTGCTCCCATACATCTTTTGCATTTGTACTAATATGTTATGTTTGAGTATATATGTTGCGTTTTAGTTTTAGTTCCATATATTTTAGCATATCTGTAGCACACAGCACATATGTGTAGATCCAGAGCATAGAATATAATTGTATGAATTGAGACATAGACAGTAGTGTTAATTGTAAGATGTAGTTTAGTTTGATCTGGAGAATGTAACCTACTTTTAGAATTTTGGAGAACAATATTGTAGAGAATGTAACTTAGGGCGTAGTACAGAAATGCGAGGTTAACGCAGTTATTGTTTTCATCAGGCACAATGTCAAATAAGGTCACATTTCAGATAGTTCACGGTGAAGGAAATATTAGATTTGGTCCAGATGGTGTTGATCTGTCAGATTTTGTAATGACATCTAAGGGCATCGATAGGCCTGCGGAGAAAACATTTCAGTCAATTTATAGTTGGTTGTTGAGAGGATTTAGAATAGACCAAGAAGTCTACACAATGTCAGTATCAGTTGTAGTGAGTCGTGCAACAGAAGGTTATTTTTGGGAACTAATGCCGATGGACAGCACTGCTGCTTGGAGACGGTATGTGGAAATGGCTTTTGAACGGTCATGGCCCCTCGTTATATTTGTGTCGGTACAAGAGAAAGATATAAATGTTTCAATGCAAACCGAAGATGTAGAGGGTCCTATCAATGCAAGGGATGTTGTTGGACCATCGATGCAAAATGAGGAAAATCAACCAAGGGAGGAGCAGGCCATGGGCATGGCGGATGAGGGGGAGAGAGTCGGTATAATTGTTGATGAAATGGAGAGGGAAGATTCGGATAATGAGGAAGCGGACGACGACGCATCATCCGATGAGGAAGGTGATGTAATGGCCACTGATTGGGCAAATGAGGACTTCTCTGGACTTGTTATATCAGAGGGTGATCATGTACCCTGGGAGTATAAGGAGAATGAGGTAATTGAGGGTGCAAGGTATGCTCATAAGGATGAGATGAAGGAGGCGGTGAAGCATTGGGCAGTTTCCTTGCAGAGAGAGTTTAGGGTGGTCAAGTCAACAAATTATGTGTATGAAGTGAGGTGCATGAAGGAAGATTGTCCGTGGCGTGTCCATGCATATAAGGGTAAATGGAATGATTATTGGAAAGTTAGCATTGTGACCGAGCATAAGTGCTACTTACAAGGGGTGGAGAAGTATCACCGAAACATCACTTCAGCTTTTGTGGCAAGTGAGATGTACAGCAGTGTTGTTGGTAACATTGGCTTTGAACCAAAATCAATTATTAGGCACATCGAGAACAAATTCAAGTACACCATAAGCTATGCAAAGGCCTGGAGAGCC